GAAAGGAGAGACATGGAGGGTGGAGTGTGAAGAGACAGAGACAGACAGACAAAGGCATGACCAGTCTGGGTTCCAGTATTTGTCCAGCCAATAGGGAGGTCCTCCGTCTGTGAGAGTGCTTGTCTGGAAGCTTTGAAGTATTGAAGTCTCAAAGCCCTGGGGAACTTCTCTTAGGCTTCCTTTCACACGGGGTTTGCCATCACAAGTTTGTCAGTAAGTTCGCAACGAGTTTGCAGTGGATGAGTTTGCAGTCTAAACTGCTGCGAATGGGACTCTGGGACAGAGCAAGGCTGTCCTGTCTCCGCAGGGCTCCCTCCACTCAACCACATCTTCAGCCTCCAATTTGTTGTCAGGATGATGGTCTTAGTTAGGAAGTGTTTGAGCCAAATCCAAGTATACCGCAGGTAAAGTGTTTTTTGTTGGTCTGCTGTATTCATTTATTAGCATTTTTAAGTTTAGTGGAGAAAAAGCTAAATTATGTGCCTTGGTAAATTAATATGTGGTTTATTAAACTGAAGTTTAATTTGAACTGGAGGTCATGGTTTGCAGTTCAGTGGTATTTGCCTTACTACAGTTTTGCTTTCAGGCTGACTTATGAGAACAGCTGCGTAACTCTAACACAGAAAGTAAATGCCAATGACAACCATCTCAGCACTTCAGTCAGGTTGGTTTGGGGAATGAGACAATGGATCTTGCAACCGCTCCATTCCAAATAGTTCCTAAACTATCTTCTATCCTTCTATTTAGCAGCTGAGATCACTTATTATTTTCTTCATCAATTTATCCAATGGCATTTTTGAACATATGCAAAGTTTTATATTGCGAAAGCTTACAAAAAACTCTGCACTATTTGGCAAGAAGATCAGTGGTTTAACAATGTTTATCTCTGTCTTGACCTCATCTTCTGGTACTATTTAATTTTTTTCTTCTCTTTTTTAACGTAAAGGCATCCCAAATAATTTCCTCTAAAAATAATTTACATTCACCTGTGATTCATGAAGCAGAAGTTTAGAGCAAGAATTCTAATAATAATAGAATTGCAGAATGAGAATTTATAAATATATTTTTTCCTTTTATCTGAAGAATAACTTTCAATATACAAAACCCAAACAACAGTAACTGCCTATTGAGTCACTGATTTTATTGAAGCTCTTGTAAGCTGTCAGTTCTAAGCAAATACACATTAAAAGGCCAGTAATATAAGTGCTCAGGAATAAAAATATTCTCAACATCCACTTCTGACTATAACTTTTTTTCCCAGTAGTTATAGAAAATGTTGAATTGTAAAACTTGTTCAAAGCAATGAAGAGAATGCTCAGTGGTTGCACAGAAGTGATAGTGATATGATCATAAGCCTTCTGAAAGAGCCAGCCTTTGTTTCTGTTAAGTTTTGAGCAACAGAAGAGACAGTAAGAGACACAGATGTGTAGGAAAATGGGCTTGATCATCTTCTTGGTATGTTTACTTCAGTGATTTACATGCTTAGAATCTTGGTCAGAATCTAAATTGAAGCATTTGCTTCAATACAAAACCAATATCTGTGTCAAAAAAAAAAAAAAAAAAAAAAAAAAAGCATCAAAATCAAAACCTCATCCTAGCTGTATGTAAAAGCTAAAAGCTAATTTTGCTACTTATATAGAGTAAGTGGTGAAATACTTCTTGTTAGTACTTCTTGTTAATATCTCTGATTTCTGATGCTTTTGCTGATAGTTCTTTGTTTTACTTTTAGTAAAATTTGTGTGTGCATTTTGCAAGTCAGTAAAAGTACTGATAAAACAATATGAAGTCCTTATGTCACAAGGCAGACATTTGTGAAACACATTATATACACATCAATCAACACTCAAAGTGTTTTCATAATCACTAAATAAAGTATAAAAAGATGAACAACTGAATATATATTTTACAGAATCTGCAAGATGGAGTACGTATGCTATCCACACCTGTGGAAATGTAATGGAACATAGTTTCTTTTTTAGTCAAAGTGGATGAATACATGTAGACAAAAGTAACAAACTAAGAAATTATTTCAATATTGGATTCTAACAATTTGTGATAATTAAGTGTAGTTTATATAGTGCAATATATATTCTACTTTATTTCCTGAACAAAATTACCATCAAATTATAGATCTATCTAACCATCCTTTTTTTCTACTGTGTGTAGACTTGTATGTGAGTCCTGCCCCTCTAATTACTGAATAATGACAGTCATTAGTGAATTTGTTCATAGGCCAGTTCTAGCAATGCACATGCCATGGATAATTTTTCCCTATGTAAATTGTATTATTCAAAAGGTCAGGAAGATGTACAGACTCGCAGAAAATAGACAATTACTACTCCATGCTTCCTCTCCTTAAATGCTGTTTCATTCAAGCTTCTGAAAGAAAGTAATTATCACTGAGAAGTGATTAAGGTAATATGTTGAATGTGTTCTAATCCAAGGATCTGTAGGAGCTGGTACAAAGGACTGTGTTTACAACATCATTCTGTGTTACAGTTGCCTTTCTTCCTTACATGAGTGGGAACCAGAGACACTTAACCTGTCACTCTCATAAAACGTAGTTCAGTCACCTCTCATTACAAAGGATTGGTGTCATGAAAAAACCTGGAGCGTTCAAGAAACCAAACAAAAGATCTCGATTGAATAAACACTTTCTTCAAATTCTGATTTCTCTGTTCAGTCTTCATAAAGTAACTCCTTTCATTATCATATACAGACTGAATAATCCTCGTGCTTTACAAATGAATGTTTAAAAGTGTTAGAGAAACTGAAGTGTGTCTTGCTAGCCATAATTCATATTCCACTGGTTCAGAATGTGGTCCCAAATTCACATCTACACCAGACTACAGCAAACTAGCGTTGTGTTCTTTGTGCTACACAGAAGATGTGGATTATTCCTGCAGCAGACTCTGCCAATGGTATTTTTCTTGCTAGAATAATTTCTTGTCTTTTGAATAATTAGAAAAATGTTTTAGAAATTATAAGGCGTATTCCTGTTCATACTACATCAAATGCCAATCCTGAGAAAAAAAAACCACAAACTTTTAGAAGTAACCATCTGTCCAGGATATTTAATGTATACTTCATATTTATGAAGTTCATATTTATGAAATATACAGGATATTTATGAATGGTTTTATTCTAGTAGAGATTTCAGTGGACTATAACAGTTTTTAATTTGGGAAATAAAATCAGTCTATAGCTTTTGACTTCTTGGCAGCCTCAGCCCTGGTTCAGGTCTGCAAGATGATTTGCCCGAGTCCTTTCTTCTGCACAAATCCTTCTCCTCCAGATTAAATTACTCACTTCTGACCAGTTCCCCACTGCCAGAAAAACTGCACCATCCTCGTCTGTTCTGCTCCTCTTGTGTTCTGTGTTTGTAATCTGACAATTTTGTATCCCTAAAAAGTAGGAATCACTGTTCTTTCAGTAAGCAGTGTTGTTGTGGGGAGAACTTTATGGATTTCTTTTTTTTTTTTTTAAATCCTGGTTGAGAAGTCCCACAAAATGTCCTGCCAACCAGATGAGCTGTTGAAATTGAGAATAGGGCAGATGAGCACAAATATGTGATACTCCAGTGTTCTCAAATAATTTACATAACATGTCTTGCATCGTTTTTCCTACTAAACACCACCCTCTAATCCCTCAGGTAATATTAGATTTCTGTGCGGGTTCCTTTGAAGTGTACTGTATTCAGGGTTTTTCTCATCGTCTGTGTTTTTGTTCAGTTCCTCAATATGCCATAGAAGACCTAGATTAGGCAAGGATTTCAAACGGTGATGAAGAAATATGAATATATGAGGAAGGACTGCACAAAAAGGAGGGAGAATCAGGAGTTACATATAAGCAATTCACAATCAAAAATACTTTGTCCACCATTGCTTTGTTTCCAATTCATGGAGACCTGAGCAGTTTCGGAAAGACATCTCCAGAGAAATAAATATATGTAATCAGATCATGTCTGGAATTCAATTGGTACTAGTTTTAATAAAATGTTTTTAAAGGTTGGCATGCTTTGCATATGTTCAAATCATCCTGCCTCTGGAGTTTCTTGAACAATTGATGAAGGAAAACTTATTACGAGAATAAAAAGGTGATTTATTTCTAGAAAAACCCCAGAGGACTGAGTGATGTGGGTGAGTAATAGCAAGAAAAAAGTGATCCTACTTCTGGTAGATCTGTAGAATTGTAGAATTTGACTGTTGAATGTTGACTCTGTTTTAGGAGAATATTGTAATTTTTTCTAACTAAATCGATCTCTGATTCTGTTTAAGTGAAGTTCCTTTGAAAGACTTTTTCTATCCTGCTATGTTAGGTATACATAGCTTTTCTAACCATTTAAATGATTTGAGATCTTGACCAGTGACTTGTAGTCCAGTTTTTTAATAATATTGTTATGATTTTATACCAACCCTGCAATAGGAGCACTGATCTCAAAACAGGAGAATTTCATTCTCATTAATGCTTTTATAGCAATGGAATAATGCAGTGAACACATATACTGGATGTTCATCAAAACCCATTCACTATAGAGTTGTTACATATTATAATTTGTTTTGCATGTAAATTTTTGTATCATTTTGGAGGATGGTTTAGATTGATCATTGGTGTTATTTGTTATACCTCTTTTTCTAGGTGTTCATGTCAGTCACTCTTTTAAACCTCTTCTCAGGATTTTATAACTCATTGTTACATTTCAGTCCACCAAAGCTGTGACATGTATGTGGAAAACTTTTTACTTACCTTTCCTTGAATATTTTTTTGAGCAACTTATACACTGTAGGATGTGAACAGGGGAAGAAGGGAAGCCACTTGCTGCGCTGCCTTCCTTGAGGCCTTGGCATGTCTATCAGAGAGGACCTTTGGTAATGCACTGAGTTAATTCTGCAGACAACATTTGCTTCTATTAAATGAAGTTTTGATAGCTGTTTGTATGTCCATACTCTTTTTGCTTCTGTCCACAATATTCTCAGTTAATTTTTATTAATTTTTTGTAGGAGGCTTCTGGACACTGAGGATGAACTTTCGGACATCCAGTCGGATTCGGTCCCGCTGGAAGTGCGAGACTGGTTGGCTTCTACATTCACGAGGGAAATGGGAATAGTGAAGAGGAGACCTGAAGAAAAGCCCAAATTTCGAAGCATTGTGCATGCTGTACAGGCTGGGATTTTTGTAGAAAGGTGAGAGCTCTGTGAGCTTACTGTGGCAAGTATTACATTTAACCACAGAGTCTATTGTAAATGGTGGGATGAGCCTGAATCAAGTCTTTGAGACAGGTTTTGGGATTCAAATTCTGTATCTTTGTATGTTTCTTTATAGAAACCCGGATAAAACCTCTACATTTGTAATGAAATTTCCAGACTTTGGAAAATTCTAAGAATGGATTTTAAGGCTTGGAATCTTCTACATGAAGATGTGTGCCAAATATTACAGAAACATACAACAGTAATCCACCATCAAAGGGGCTTTTCTCATAAGTTAATAAAAAATGCTTATGTCATCTTTGAGACCAGACCCTCAAGTAGCCTGGTATTATTTTCATGGATCATGAAAGAAGCCTAAACAAAACAAGAAATTGTTACAATACTTTTTAATGAAATACTCTTACTGGATATTTTATTTGTTCTTTTAGGATGTACCGGAGAACTTCTAGCATGGTTGGTTTGGCTTACCCAGCAGAAGTGATTGTAACATTTAAGGTGAAATAACTTTAATTGTTGTGAAATTTGTATTAGTACTTATTTCTAGTGAATTTTAGGATTAAATAAATTTTTCTACTGAATATACCCCAGACACATTTAGTACTGCAGAAGTGAACACACAGAACAGAGCAATTTAATAGTTCAAAATTCAAAAATAGCATATGATTCTGGTTTTTGTTTTACTGTTTTGTTGTGATTTCATTTAGGTGTTACTAGAGCAAGAGTATAAAACTGGCATAGAAATTTTAATAAAAATGTGACAGTTGTGATTGTGTCAGCTCCCACCAGTATGGTAATCAGTATCTCAGGCAGCAGCATTTGTTTTCTTTTTAGGAAAGAAAAGAAAGTCATACTGGGAGAGAGATAATGAAAGAAATTGCGGCTTATGGAACAAGTGCAGTATTTCTGTGAATTTAAGGCAACACTATAGTTTACCTAAAAGTCAGTCTCTTATAATAGTAAAATTACTATGGCTACGTATGCAAAAAAGAATGATATACCCCGAGAAAGAATGTAGAGCTTCACATTTTCTCCTAAGAGCCTGGCATTATTGTATTATTTACAAATCGCTGTATGGCTCTATGGTTAACAACACTGCATAGAAGCCTATTTAAAGGATGGCTATTCACGTTAGCTTAGTCGAGTTTTACAGAAAAATTTTACACCAAACGTTAAATATGAAGGATTAAGGACTTTGATTTGAAGCATACAAAGTTGCATAGGACATGTTACAAGTATTTTATTAATAACTGGCACAATAATCTTTGTCATTAATATTGAAATAGTCATTAAGATGTTATCTACAAGGAGAGTTTGAAAGAATTGGACCAAAAAAACCCAACCAAACAAAAAAAAACAAAAAGAAAAAACCAAAAAGCCCAACACATTGATTTCTTCCCCTTTCTTCTCCCCTAAAAATCCCAAAATGTCTTTTCCAGTGATTAGCTGGAAAACTTGAACTGAAACTTTATGATGTTCTTTTTCTTTTCCCCACATGTACAGGATGTTGATAAATGGTCTTTTGACGTATTTGCCCTAAATGAAGCAAGTGGAGAACACAGTCTGAAATTTATGATGTATGAGCTGTTCACCCGATATGACCTTTTGAACCGTTTCAAGGTCAGAAACTATCCACACATAGAATATGCATGCAAAAATAAGTATGTCAAATTTAAAATATAAGAAAGCCAGGATGTTTTTTTTTTTTTTGTACGGATTATTTTTTTTGTACAGAGCAGTGCAGAACTTCATAGAATATGGCAAGTTGAACATAATATGTCAGTAGTTCCGCTGTGTGAAACTTTACCCAGAGCCTGCAGATGTTTCTGCAGATGAAGAACTGAATGCTATGTAGACCCATGTCAAGGCAATTCGGGATGGAACATTGTTCTTGAGCAGTTAAATGCTGTAAGCATTAAATGGATTAAATAGGCAGATGGAAAAAAGATTCCTAATAAGGCAGAAGTTGTAGTTAGTCCTGAGTACTGTTTTCATAATCCAGTTCATTGTGTGTTGGCCAAAACCGGAGGGGTTTAGCTGAACCTCCCACTTGTGAGCAACTTTAGCAATGCATAGAAAAGGCTGCTTCTAGGTGTTTGTAGGGTGTTGTGCGATAATATGGAGTATTTCTAACCAACTTTGAAAAGCTGAGATAAAAAACTGAAGTACCAAAATTATTATTATAAAATTACTGAAGTTTCAAAACAGTTCAAAATCTCTTCACTGCCAAACTTCAGGCTCCATTGGAGGAGTCTGACTCATTTTGAAGTTGATTTGAGTAATTGGAATTATACCATAACTTAAACTCAGCTTTTCCTGGGAGGGCTCTGGATGATTAAAGTCAGAGCCATACCAGGACCACCATTAACAGCACAGATTGAAAAAAATACACAAGGTTATTGGCTTGGTGGGATTAAGCCCACTCTCAATCTCACTGTTTATCTTGCAGGACTTTTATATAAAGAAAAAGAAATTTTAAGGAAAATATCATTTCATTACATGGGGAAAAAGTGGGTCTAAATAGTACCTGTATTTTATACATTGCTTAGAGGAAGTAGGAGACAGGGAATGGAGACTGTCAGGTTCAAGAAAATACTGTCTCAATGTAAAGCTGATGAAGAAAAATAATTTTTCCTATTTTTAGACTCCTATTAGTTGTATCTTTCTTATAGGAACAATCTGCATACAGGAAGAAACCTCTTCACATCTATTTAGTCAATAGTTCTGCAGCCTCTCGTACACTGACTGCATGCTGCTCATGGTGTATGTTGCAGGCTGTAATGTTTACAAAAATTGGGTGAAGACTTCCAGATGCATGTTAGGTTTTAGACCTTTACATTTTAAGTTCTTCTGTTCGTAAGAAAAATTCTGTGATGTACTTATTTGTGGTTTATTTATTGCATGATTAACTTTGCTGTTGTTGCAGGAAAAACACATTTATTTTAATTTTTGCTTCCTCTCCAGATCCCTGTTCCCAATCTCATTACATTTGCCGAAACTCTTGAGGTTGGTTACAGCAAATACAAAAATCCGTATCACAACTTGATCCACGCAGCTGATGTTACTCAAACTGTGCATTACATAATGATTCATACTGGTATCATGGTAAGAAATACTACAAAGTTCGATTTACTTCTTTTTGCAGATTCTCTGATGTTTTGGATAGCTATGTATGCGTGGCTTCAGCAAAAAGCTCCCTTGAAAATTATTCAGAGAGATTCCAGACTTCTTTTTAACAATTCTTCCAGCTTGATGTGGAGGAGAGAAAGGGGAAAAAAAATCCTTGTTAAATCCTTTTTGCTTTTCATTGGCGGAGCTTGCACATTGTATATCATATTAAAAGAGATATTTGCAGTAGTGGGCAGGTGAGAATTTTTCACTTCCACATTGGAGCCTGGGAGGCGTGATCAGACAAGGAAACTTTAGTATCTTCTGAGATCTTGGCCATTGAAAGAAATACTGATTCAGTTCAGTTTTACTTGAACACTCTGAGCTGCTTTTTCTTTTGGTATATAACCATCTTTAGGACTGCCATTGTGTGCCACATATGCCTTTATTAGGCAGGAAATCGCCTTTGCCTTGCGCTTTTGCAATATCCCAGTATTCTTTTGTATTTACTTTGGGATCTGAAGTGAGTCTGTGCAAGCAGTTTTACTCATGTTTACTCATGTTTGATTTAATACCAGCTGTGAGAGTTCTCCTCACTATCAGATTGCGAGGCAAAAGTGAATACTGACTGGAAGTAAATGGACATTTATGTCAATGGACTTTTGATGTTTTGTCTTCAGTATGAATACACCTTTTTTTTTTTTTAAATTTACAAAATGCCAGATGTGTGGAAAGTGATAGTGTCTGATTTCTGTGTGCAGAGCCTTGAAACGAATCCATGAGACTTTGGGAAAGGAAAATTTTCAGGCTAACTGTAAATGTTTGTACTTCAACATATAGGCAATAAATGACAGTTATTTACCTATGCTAAGCCTTTTCTACCTGAAAGCTTTGGCTTCAGGAGAGAACAAGTCCTAGGCATTGCAATATTTAATTCTGTAGTTTGAAGGAAGCTTTTTACTTCTAAACATTGAGATTTTCAAGCCACATTTTAAGGCAGATACTGCTTGTGGAGTGATGTCTGGATTCTTCACCAGCCAATATTCCCTTTGACACTGAGATATTTTCTCAAGAAAGGACTTGCATAGAAGCCTGAAGAATGGGTTAGGAAACTAACTCCAACCCAAAGCTGTTGTGTTAGATGTTCACTTATTAAAAAAACATTTTAATAAAAGAAATAGCTTGAATGCATCATGGCTCAGAGCAAGCATTAAGTTGTGTGAGGCATGTCTCTGGTGCAGGATAAGCAGTTCAACAGGGAGAAAAATCCCTTTGTTGTATTACAGATTACAAACATAAAAATTATAAACATCCTTTTGGCTTATTGCAGCTGTGCTCTTTCTCCCTTCAAAAAAGACAATAGCATTCCAGATTTCCTTCATGATGCCAGAACAAAGTTTGAACTTTGTGAGTTATACTAGTTAATTTGGAATGATTAACCATTGATTAAGCAACTTTGCAACACACTTCAGAGGCTCTGAACACCGAATGAAAGAATCTGATTTGTATTTGAGTATCTGCTATTCCACCAGATACACATGAGATTGAGAAAGGCCTCAACAACTCAAGTGGTACAATGTAGGCAATTTAACTTTGTAACTGCACTTTGATGTGATTTGGACAACTATTTTCAGAGAAGCATAAACTTCAGTGCTGTTACTTTGCTGTAAAAGCTCATTAATCTTGCAGTATCTGTGCAAAATATTCCTGTAAAGTTAGGCCACTTTTTAAATATTCGCTTTTGAATTGCTGAATTATGATACAGGAAAGTTCTTGGAAAGTTATCTAACTAGGACACCACTTAGTCAAGAGTGCCTTCAAACAGATGCAGTTTGCCAGGCAGGAGAAACATTTATAGAAATCAGTGTTTGAAAGGAGGCCTAGTGATTCCGCAGCTTGCAGTGTATTTCTGTCCAAATGTCATTTGCAGTCTGAGAATTCATCACTATCATGCACAAATGTTCTGCTTAACTTTTTTTTTCTTTCATTCTTTGCTGTTGCCTGATTAATTATAGCCTTCCTGAACCAAGAAGTTGGCTTCTTGATCTAATTGTTTTTGGAGTGTGTCCCTTGTAATACAGATTTTTATTCTGCTGTATTGTCTATCAATTACTTGGACAGGAGTCAGTTTGATACAATTGTATATCAAATTCCTCGGAGTTTTGCAGACTGACATGTGGTTTGAAATTCTTGTGCTTTTATTGTATCTTAAGGAGCTGATTCTGACAGCAAAGAATGGCTGTCTTGCTTATTCACTTCTGAAAGACACACTGAAGCAATTGTTAGAAGAAGTTGACTTCTGTAAATTTTTTTTGTAATTCCTATTGTGGAGGTCATATGTATATCTGTTTGGCACTTGTAATACAGTCAGATTTCAGCATTTGGCAAAAGTTTGTTCATAGCTTTTGGTTTGAAAGCTTTTAGAAAGATTATGGTGAATAATAATATATTTTCAGTGTCTTGTTTAAAGAAATAGAATGATCATCATATTTTATGGAAGATATTGCCTATCTATCTTAAGAAACGAGTTTCAGCCACTTCAGATCACTTCAGATGTGTTAGGAAGTTAGATATCACAGATGGCAGACAATCTATTAACTTCTCCAAGAGATTAAATCCCAGATGATACAACTGAAATATATATCTCAAGCTAGCATTTGTGTGATCTTCATCTCTACAAAGATTTAAGAATCCAAGTCCCAGGGAATACATCTTGTAAAGAACTTTTGAGTCATCGATCATCTTCCCACCATCTCTTTTCTCCTCCCACGTACCTGTAATGCTCAAATGAAAAGAAAAAATGTCTTTGCTATCAACCAGTGTATTGTGAGACTCACAGCTTTACTCATTTTTTAATCCAGCCTTGTTTAAAAAAATAGTTAGAACCAAAGTTCATGAAAAGTTGAGGTGCATCGATTTACAAGCGATTTATAGTACTGCAAAGTCTCTCTCAGTAGAGAGCTCTCTCAAGTTGTTTTTTTTTTTTCCAACAGTAGTTACACTCGCATGGCACAATATCAGCTAGCAGGGAAGTAGGTTCCAGCTCTTTGCTGTCTGCCAGACCTCCGGATACCAGAACCTGCTTTACACACTCCTATCGAAATAAATTCACTTGACTTTTAGAGAGAAAGCTTCCTTCTGCTTCCTTAGAAATCCCTTAGCTAAATAGTTCTCAATTTCTCTGATTTTGACACTAATTTGAATGTTGACTATATTGCTACAGTGTCTAGAATACATACTTTCATGTAGCACAGTATGAAAATTCTGTATAGTCTACAGATATTGCTCTCTCAACTTGTAAATGAATTATCTAGCAACTATTCTGGTTGCTAAAAAAGTTGAGGCTTAAAAAAGCATCTGAAAGAAAAAGTTTGTATCTGGCTTTAGTTGCTAATAATTTCTGGGTTTCTATTCTATTTGGTATGTTGAAAACATTGTGAAAGTCAGGACGAGTCATGGCCTAGTTTCTAACGACAGACAATAATATGAAGGTCAACGTTTCCATTTTTAGAACTGCTTACAGTACATTCTCATTCCTCCGTTGTGACCTTTTAAAATCTATACAGCCAGTACTTGTTGTTCCTTGGCTGCCTTAGTTGGTTTCTGAATGACCTATTTTATTGTTCTCACACAGCTTATGAATTTTGACTGTTTCCTTTCTTTATTGAAAAATTTATACCACTTCTGGCACTGTATGCATCTCATGTAGTGCATGGCATTCGCTCCAAAAGTAATGCCTTCTATTAATTTCCACGGAGAATATAACAGATACAAAGAGCAAAATATGGCTATTTGATGGAGCAAATTCTCAGCTACAAAACACTTTTTTTCAACATAGTCACCACCACTGGTCGATCTGTTGGTGAGCTGATAGCAGTGCTCTTCATTTCATGGTGTGACAGCTGTGTATGCCTGTCTGGAATGTAGCTTGTCTTTCACATCACTGTTGCCACTGCTGATATGCACCACCCACCATCTCACTGTGCTCACATCTACTGCTTAGTCTCCATAAACTTTCAGCTAGTATTGATGAATAGGTCAATAGGTGCCATTTTTTCCACATGGAAGAATTCAATGACACACCTTTGCTTCATATGCTCCCATGTCAGGCACCACGTTGTCAGAGTGCCCCTCTGCTGCTGTCTGTCTCATGGCAACAAAATGTAATAGAATATTGCTAGGAAGGTTCATCCTCTACAGCCATACTACCAACTTCTACCTCTGACATCATAGGCCAAAATAATAAAATAGGAGGCATTGCTTTTGGAGCAGCCCTCGTGCATGTATGTAAATATTTGGGTGGAAATCATTCGTAGATCTTTTAGCACAGAAGCTTGCTTATACTCGGGAAAAAATCTGAAATGTGTATGGAAATATCTGACTGTTATTTGACTTAATCAGTCCTATGTCTGTGGGCTTAACTATCACTTGATGCTTCTGCCCCCGTTTTTGGAGGGAGTAAATTTTCTCCTGAAGCTTTAAGCATTTATCATTAAAGAAAGTAGAACTTGAATGATTAAATAACAAAGCTGATTATACCAACAGAGCAATCTTGAATTAGCAAGAGGTATAAAAGTGCATAAAAATCTTGTGTTTGTATTATTTTATACAGACTATCTGTGTTGCCTTTTGTTCTATGTAACTGTGTACTAATTTTATGCACCACATTTGTACATTTCTGAAAGTAATATGGTAGCACAAAGTATGATATAATTTAGAAAAGAAAAATCTCCCATGACCTAATTTCACTGTTATAATTGTACCTAAAAAGGTATTGTAAACTGCATATTTTTTCACTTAAAAAAAAAAAGTACAGCCTTAGCTTTGTAAAAAGTTTTTAGAAGAATTTACTGCAATTTAGCAAGTGTCAAATAGTGGTTAGAGCATTAGACATCTCCCACCCAAAAAGTTTTCTTAAAAACTGCTTATATATTATGGCTGACAGTATTTACTTTGCTAGTGTCCATAAAGGCTTTAACTCGGTCTTAGAGGCATTCAAATAAGCAGAAGGAGTAATTTTATTATATAATGCTTAGGCATGATGGCCATATAGTCAGCTGGAATCAAAAAATGATGAAGTTTACTTTAGCTGAAGGTATTGCAGAACACTTCAGTAATGCAGTTAATCTGAATTAGGCGGCTATAGAAAACATAACTAAGATCTGTTTTTCATTTACCAGCACTGGCTCACAGAACTGGAAATTTTAGCAATGATTTTTGCAGCTGCCATCCATGATTATGAACATACAGGGACCACAAACAATTTTCATATTCAGACAAGGTAAGCAAAGTTGTCCCTGAAGCCTGGAGTCTGGAGTTTGCTGTTGATTCATCCAAGCTGTTTTATACCTCTTACTGGTGCTGCCAGAAAGTAGCTAGACCATTCCCGATTTTATGAATTGAGTAAGCAGGGAAAAACCTTCAAGCACAGCTTTAGCAATTCCTACCAAGGATCCTCCCCTAACATGTCATGATAACATCTGCAGTAGCTATGACAAAGAAATCCATTCTGAAAGTTAGGCTCACTGCATTCTGATTCAAGCATAGTATGTCATAGCCTCTGGTCCAGAACATATGCCTTAAAATATATACAGCTTACTGAAGGAGAAACACTGACCAGTCCTTTACTGGATGTTGAGGTGCACCTGATACTTACCCTAGTACAAAGCATCTTACTGTTCTCTCACACTGGACTGTACGTTTTCTTTGGTACCCACAGCTGCAGAGTCAGCTTTACCTGCTCTTCAAAAAAAGCCCAGCAAAACACTGGCATATTCTGAGGAAACAATGCAGTGCAGGAAATACTACTACTTGGAACAGAAGCATCCTTAAGATAAAGTGCCCAAGGGTTAAGTATAATTAAATCCAGGACATACTCATACCCTGGGTTGTGCCCTTAAACAATGAAGAAATTCAAGATCTGTAGCTGAAATAAAGGCATAGTTCTTTTCCTTCTCAGCATAGCCCTTCTAAAAATAAACTCTAGTTTGTAGTTCCAAGTTTACACTACTTTTCTATTTTTGTTAATATTTTGCTCTGGAGTATTGCAAAAGTAAAAAAAAAATAAAATAAATGAATTATACTGTTTGACTCTTACTTGGACATACTTACAAACAGGTATTTGTTTTGTGGTAGAGACCAACTAAGCTCATTCTATACTCTTAGTGGAATTGGCCCTGATGTGAGATATCAGGGTGTTATTCCAGTTTCTTTTGCCCGCAAGATGCGGAGGAAAAGGCTGGCATAATCATATCCAATCTCATTACTGATTAAAACTGTGCATGATTAGCCATGTGAGCCAAAGTGTTCTTCATAACTTTGTGTGATTGGTAAATCATTAATTTTCCCATGATTTTAGAAAGGTTATGAGCATAAACTTACTCATTCTTTAGGTAGGGTATTGTTTGTTCCTTTTAAGTAAACTTTCCAATCCTATTTTTTTAGTTTCCCCAGTGCCATACCATACACGTGGGTGGTTAAACTGAACGTTTGATATTGTTCATCAGAACAAGGAATTGAATTTACCATATTAAGATCATAGTAACTGCACTGATAAGTCATTCCACCTCCCTTGCAGTACATATTGATCAGCTCACTGAACTGAGATACTCAGGAACAGCAGAAGAAAAGTGTAGCAGAGAGGGGAAACCTAAGGTTGCCTACCAAGTCACGTTGGGTTTTGGGAAAACAAGTTCCCCAAGAATTAATGATCTCTGAAGTATGATAAATCCGTATTGCATCCAAATTTCTAAAAATCCACATGTAATTTTGGTATTTTAAGTTAGTCTCTCATTAGGAAGGAAAGGATGTGGTTGAGTATGATAACTTTGAGGGTCAGGCTCTAGAAAGAACTTCAATCAAGATTCAGCTTTGTATTTCTTCCATTTCCTTCTCAAAGTGAGAAGGCTTTTCTGCAAAAACAGGAGATCCATTTATAACTTATGAAATTGAAGTTTTAAAACATTTTAACATTTACAGATCTTTTGGATTGTGAGTGACATGAGCCAAAGCACGTCTCTCTCAGAATAGAGGTGGTAATTTTTTAATATCCATCCTATTTGTAGATCCCCTCTCTTGTGAATGAATTGCATTTTAAATGGTTGTGTTGCCAAGGAGTACTTCTAAGTGGCCTCAAAGAGCATTTCTGTTGCTCTGTGATCCAATACTGTCAAGAAGCTCTAAGTTTGCTTCACAGATTATTGTTGCAGTTTTAAACAAAATGTTATATATTTAAAAAGATGAGTTTCACGTGGGCAATATATACAGTGGTTATGATGATATTTTTTTATGCAGTTAGTATGGAAGCTTTATCAGTATTTGATAGAAAAAATAAACACAGTTGGAGATATATAAATATACATAGTCAGTAGTTCTCAATGTTCTTCCTTTTCCAGCACTATCATTGGGATGTTATTGAAAATTGTGCCTTTTTTTTTAACACTAGGTCAGATGTTGCAATATTGTACAATGATCGGTCTGTTCTTGAAAACCATCATGTAAGTGCTGCTTATAGACTAATGCAGGAAGAAGAGATGAACATCCTGGCAAATTTAACCAAAGATGACTGGAGGTAAGTAGTGTTTAGATACTCAAACATAATTCTGGTATTTCAAAATACTGAAAAACTCTAGGCTTTCTCTATAGAGTCTATTTTAAGAGTTCAAGTTACAGGAAGAAACTTTTGGCTCTGGAAGGAGTAATGGATATTTAGAGCTTTGGGAAAGCTGCTGTCATGTAAAGAAGTACTGTTTGGAAGTTGCCAAATAATCTTGCAAGTAAGGTTGTGCTTTTATGAGACATGTTGTTGGACTGTGTGGGCAATGTCTCTGATGAGATCGTTTTCAGGAAAACCACAGAACTGCCCCTGTTGGGATAGATTACCTTTGTCTAGTGATGGATTTTAAAACCACAGTGCAGAGTCATGCCCTGCTGCCAGTGTGACCACTACTGCCTCTGAGATTTCTGTGTGCAGATTTCTGCGCTGCATAATCACATCTTGTTAAGCATTAAAACATGAGTTATCTGCAGAGTCCAAAAATAATAAGGTAAGGGTTCAGAAGCACTACAGAAATCTCATGGTTTTTTCTTCTTCTTAATTTTAATGTACTTCCTGAAGAAAATATGACTGATTGAAAGAATCAGGAACATAACTGCCATGCCACAAATATCAAGAACGAAATCAGCAAGTGTTAGATCTATGATTTTCTCAGTTATTAAAGCAGCATGTTATCTTTGTATACTGTAGATCTCTACTAGATCATCATCATACACTCTTTAAATTTGAGTCTTACATATGATTCTATATGTGTAGCTATTATCATTCAGATATTCTAAAAATAATTTAAATAGGTGGACTTTGAATCCAGATAGAGATGTTTAGCTTCCAGGAAGGTCTTCCATTGTAAAGGATGCCACCACAAATTATAGAGCTGTACTTTGTTTATTTATGTTTTCACAGAAATGCCCAATTATACAGAAATATATGAATTTCAGAACAAATTTTGGTTTGGGATATGTTTACAGGCAGAGGATTGGTTTACATGGTAGATTTACATGATTTTACTTATCTACATGAGTAGAACATTCTAAAATAAATATTTTATTGAATGTAAGTCTGCTGATCCTTTTGGTTTTCAGTTCATTATTTCTCAATAGATGCTCCACTATGCTTAATATTAATGCGTTTTTGTTTTTTTTATTTAGTAAAAAATGAGAGGAGAAACAAAATTTTTCGTTCTCATAAAGGATTTATTCTCAGATGATATTCATTTGAATTTAGTTATTATAAAGTTTGTATTGTAAATTTAGTTCTGGGGAAAGATCTCTGGAAATTATAAACTTCAGCAATGATTCCTGTATAAACCCAGTTCTTCATTACCAGCATGATGGATAATCAGAAGGCTGGAGCACCTCTCCTGCGAGGACAGGCTGAGGGAGCTGGGCTTGTTCAGTATGGAGAAGAGAAGGCTCCAGGGAGACCTCATTGCAGCCTTTCAGTATTTAAAGGGAAATTATAAACAGAAGGGAAATCGGCTTTTTGCAGGGGTAGGTAGTGACAGGACAAGGGAGAGTGGTTTAAAACTGAAGGAAGGGAGATTTAGATTAGATGCTGAGGGAAGTTTTTCACAGAGAGAGCGGTGAGGTGCTGGAACAGACTGCCCAGGGAGGTTGTTGATGTCCCGTTCCTAGAGGTGTTCAAGGCCAGGCTGGATGGGGCCCTGGGCAGCCTGATCTGGTGCTTGATCTAGCAGTTGGCAACCCTGTCCACAGCTGGAGGGTTGAAACCATATGATCTTTGAGGTCCTGTCTGACCCAAGACATTCTATAATTCTAACATGAGCAAGGGTCTTTCACTGCTGGCTTTGAGGAAAGCAGAATTGCTGTAACTTGCAAGATGAGCCTTAGGTCTTCAGTTTCCTACTTCCTAACCTGTTCCTAAGGTTCAATGATCCAACTGTGTCCAACTGACTAAATGTCATTGTCACAAACAAATCCTGGTGACATGGGTTTCAGTTTATTGGTTGACTACTTTCTGGAGAAATGAATGCATCACTCTTTGTCTCTTGTCTATCACAACATTATTCATGTCATTTTTTCACGTCATATTTTATCTACTACTTGTCTATAAACATCCATAGGTCGTATGGCTATGGGAGAGTTAAGAAAGGTTGAAAACAAAGGACATGACCTTTGCTTAAGAGATATGGATACTGTATACACAAAACCAGTATTTTTCTAATTGTGAACTCCAAAAATTTGCTATGTGCTATAAATGAAAACTGTTATACTTCTGGTAGTAGACGTAAAGGTGGCAGTGCCTGTGTGTCATTTTGCTGTGGTAGTATTAGCAGCACTAACAGTGTTTGTCATGATGCCTTCAGCTGCCTGATGCTTAAGGGAGTGGGCAGTGTTTTCTCTCCTTCGATATGGAAGTTGGGAGTCTCCATGGAGATAGTTTGGGAATGGTCTGAGTCCAAGAGTAATCTTTTGTGCAGTGTTAGTAGACTGAGCTCTCTTGGCTCTGGTAAAACTGTATTTAATATTTCCCTGCCAGTTCTGTATTTTCTGTCTCTCTGTTGATAAGAATGGGAGTGCAGGCAGGAAACAATTGCAGACTGTAGGCGGAGAGCCTCTCCTTTGCTATTATGTAGTGTTTTAGTGGCCTGAAATATTGTAAAGTGTGTGAGAAGGGCAGTGCTAAACTATTTTATCCTTCAGGTGTCAGAAGCATGAATGTGAGTTTGTCATCTGCCATGACAGAGTGAATCTACCAGAAGCAGCATGTTGATTGCATGCCTTGTGTGGTGGGGCTGGCTTACTTCTAATTACTACTAGAAGAAAGTTCAGACAGGGAAAGTTCCTAGGAAAATCTTCATAGGAATAGAAGTTATCATCAATTAAGTTTTACAAAGAAACAGCATTTAACAGTGCTGAGCCCTCGCTTTTCATGCAGTTCGGCTTTTTTTTCTTCTTCTTCTTCTTTTTTTTTTTTTATTTATGGGTTTGGCTGTGTTTGAAAGGTGCAGTTTTAAAACAGTGTGGAGGAGAAACAGTTGGGATACAGATAAATTAGTCTCTCATTATGAGGTCAGATAAGGTAAGACATTTTCTAAACTCAGGTTGCTATGGCTGCATATTATTTGAGCAGAAGTGAGAGGGTTGAGTCTTTATCCAGTTATCATCAAAGCAAGTCAAGAAGAAATACACAAAAATCAGTGAGGAGCATTAGCTTAAGTATGCAATTAATTTAACTCAGAATCAGTGTTTATAACTCATTACAAAAACTACTCTAACAACCCTAAAGAACTCACCAAACTATCTCTTTAAAATGTGTTCCTTTGAAAAACCTGCGCTGTTAATCAACTCAAACATTGAATACAGTATTAAAGATCAATGAGTGTTACTTAAGACTCAGAATTTTACTCTTGTACTTAAGACTCTAGAATTTTACTGTTGTAATTGATACTTAGAGACCCTTAAGATTAGCATTGTGCTCATGAAGAGTTATGCTACATCAACAAAGTTTTAGTGTGGCGAATTCTCCTCCATTTACATATGTAAGTGGCACTCTTACATGTAATACCCAGTAGGTCATTTTAAAAGCATGTAAATAAAGTAGACTCCTACATACAATCCCTCTACATCAAGGAAACAGAATTCTTCAAATCGGTATGCTGTGGCAGTACTGTAGACACTGAGGTTTATCCAAGGCACAATTATTGCTACTTGACAAGTAAAATTAACAGTAGGAATTTGTACACTGTCTCACATGATTCACATTTTACTATTTTCATATTCATTATGTCCAAGCCATATCTCACTGCAAAACACCAAGATACAGATAAACTATAAGTTTGAACTTGCTTCAACTCTTGTAATAGACATAAAGGCATTTTTGAATTGAAGAACAGTTTGACATGATGTTTGTATGTTAGCATAATGTTGATAGCATTTTGTATGTCTTGCTCTCTTAAATGTTTTCACTGTGTTCTTCCTGTATTTAGTGTTGTTCCTGCTATGCACTGATATGAGGGCCATAATAAAAGACAACAGTATATTCCCCTGTGTGGTGGTGAGCCCAGAGACTGACTTTTTAAAATATTTCACTTCTGAAAAATAAGGAAAGGCTTTAAGTGGGTGACAGTTTTAGTTTATACAGTAGAAAAGAAAAAAAATAAATAATAGTGTGACTCTGAAATAATTGAATGTGAAATAAAAAATTACAGAGAGCATTTTTCGAAGTACATTGCTTCCACAGACCTCTTTATGATTCAATGGTCAACTTATTAACTAGTTATTTAAATGATTTTTAAAATGTAATAAAAACAACAGTGTTGTTTAAAAAGTTTTAAATTAACAAGTACTGCTTAAAGAAATGTTCCATGCATAGAATAAATGGTTTGTAATCAGTCATTTTGCTTTTAATTATTCTCAGGGAGTTGCGCAGCTTGGTCATTGAGATGGTCTTGTCTACAGATATGTCGGGTCATTTCCAACAAATTAAAACGATGCGACATACTCTACAGCAGGCAGAGGGGTAGGTGATTTTCCATTCTGTTCATTATCTCTAGTCTTTAAATGAGCTCATGTACAAGAAAAGACTCAAATAGTTGTTTTTGTTCTGAGATAATTGGAGCATGTCCTTGAATTGACAGGGTAGACAAAGCCAAAGCCATGTCTTTGATTCTACACGCAGCAGACATAAGCCATCCAGCAAAATCCTGGGAACTGCACTACCGGTGGACCATGGCCCTGATGGAAGAATTTTTTCGACAGGTGCCATTTAAAAAATCTTTTAATATACTACTTCAAGAAGCAAATGTTACACAATTAAGTATTTTCTTAAGTCTACCAGCAAGGATATTGTTGGCTGTGATTGACGAGCATAGTCAGCAGTATGTATTTCTTACTCTTGATACATACCACTGACATTAACTCAACTTTTATGTGAGTGAATAAGATGAAATTGTTATAGCTTCATATCTATTTCAGCTGATTCTAAGTGTTGTAGCACTTTTTTCTTTTGATAATAATATAACTTGTCAAGCTGTTTTCATTCTGTAGACAGAATTATATATGCTTTGAGTTAAAATGAAGCACTGATAGGATAGAAAGAGGGACTTGAAATTAGGAAGAATTCATGTTCAGTGAAGAATGCTAAATACCATCTCCATTTCATATTTCAGAAAATCCTCCTATTTCTTGCCAGTGCTTGCCACGCGTATACCACATCATTATGAAGGCTTTGCTTTTTTAACAACCTAATACAAAAACAGAGAAAAACATCCTGTAAACCTTATGGCCATATATCCTAAACAAAAATGAAGATACAGTCTTGAGAAGGTTTTTTCATTTCTGTGAGATACCGAATTCAAAGAGAAAGCCCAATAGGTGTTGATGTCACTGCTGACATTTTCTGACTTACCTCAGCAAGTGAAAAAAGCTTTTCTTCAAAGGGGAAATATTATCTCTGTAAGGAGTATTTGTGAGATAATGAAACAGTGTAATTCTCACTCATCTAGACTGTCATTATTATGCTATATATTGACATTTTCAAATCAGATAGGTCACACTGGAAAAAGAGACCAGAGAATAAACAAGTCAGTAAATTAAGCTGTGAGATTATTTAGCTGATCTGCCCTAGAAGGTTCTTGCTGAGTTCAGTGTTTCTTTATACAAATTCTCACCAGGGAGCATCAGGGCATCCTCGACTCTGGGATTTGCACTGGGGAGACCGAGTGGAGAGTTGATTCATTAATCCACATGATGAGTGGACTACATTTTATGGACATACTGAGTAGCTTAATGAGTTTGTGTCCATTTCTGTAAATGGAAATAATGAGGATTTTGAAGTTGAGAGGAAAAAGGAGGAGCAGTCTACCGCAGATGTATATTACTTGAAAAGGTCAGAAATGACAAACTGTAAAAACAATTCAGATGCAGAGAGATAGACTAGACAGAGCCCATGGGACAATGAGGCAATGTGTCCAGTCAAGTGGATGTAGCATTAGCAATAAACAGCATTTCACTGGTCTTTGAGTGCTTAGGATCAGCTCATGTTTTAGCTGTTCCCCTATCCTTTCATTAGAAGAAGTAACAGGATAACAAATAAGCTGCCTGAAGATATGAGTAGCCATCTAGTATTAGTATCAAGTCACCAAATGTGTATTTTTGCAGCTGCACAGTGTAAAATGTGTAAGGCTGTGCAGCTCGTGGGCTGTAGAGGAGTAGGTAAGGAATTGACTATTCCTTTATAGGTATGACTAAGAACAGCAGCATGCATGGAGTAGTTCCAACACATATGAAGTGTGATGAAGTAACTAGATACAGAACTGCAGTGCAGACACAGACACAGGAGGCCTTCTGCTTCCTAGATGCTCTGTTTTGGTTGTGCCTCCTCTGCACTGCTGATCCGAGTACATGCATTGGAAATTTCTGGGGTTTCCAGATCTGTGTCAGCCAAGATGACAAATATAGTCCTCCTCTTCATTTATTTAAAAATAATAATTCAACTACTTCCAGTGCTTTGCAGGAAAATGCTCCAGAGCTTGAAACTACCGCTAAGAAAACAATGTTTTAATAGGCAGCTTTAAAAGTAGTGAGCACTAGCAAAAAGCAAACATTCATCTAGACAAAAAACTTTGTTAACTGCAGCTAATAATTAAAATTTTCCAGTGTTAACTTCAGGGAAAAAGCCAAACTTTTTGATTTTAAAAACAACTACTGCAAGTGTATTATAATGCCTAGGAAAATCTGAGTTACTTGTTTAAAAAATAAATATGCCCACTCATTCGAAATACTTAAAAATTAAGGAATATGTAGATCAAGTCACTCAAGGAAGCATTACAGCTCTGATAGTATTATGACCTCAGCCTGCATAAATCCAAAAGCATGAAAGTTCACCTGAGAAAAGCTTTTATTTCACTCTGTAGCTTGATTTTAAATCTCTTGAGATTCTAGTTATCAATTTTAGGTATCAGTGCTGTGTCCATTATTACAATTTATGCTAGACATAGTATTTATTATATTATATTTAAGTATTAATTATTACTTTAATTTTGAAGCAGTTCATAATTTGGATAAAGAACAACTTGAAAACCTAAAAAAGTCAAACGTATTCCTCACAAGTGTGGAATTTTTTGTTTTTCAATACCTAGTTAAGGGAAGATTGCAAAATTAGTATTGCTTTAGAAATTCTATATTCAGCAATTACTGAAATTGTTAGAACTACTCTGTGTTGAAACACAATCTGGCTCCTGCATTTACGTGGAGATACCATTGGCACTGCTCATGTGAACCTGTGTTCTTCTGTGTTCTGAAGTCAAATTAATATGAACATAAATTTTACAACATTGGTTGTAAAATGTAAAGTCTATAGAGATAAAAATCTCACATGAAACCTAATCTGGTTTTGTGTCTGAAGTGTATTCATAGTTCTCAACTTTTCCCGCTGGATGATCATGAAACAGCAGTCTGCATGACTAATGTAACACGTAGAACCATTTTACTTGAAAGACCAACTTTTTTCTCAGCCAGGTTTATCCAGCAACACAAATTATATCCTCCTTTGGGAGATCTCTCTCTTCATTCTTTTTGCATCACTGGATTGCCTTTCTGAGCTTTGCAAATTGGTTGGCCTACCATGCTGTAAAATGGAGATAGTACTACCTGTCTGTCAAGTCTGTTATGACAAAAAAGCCTTTTTAGGGGTTAGATGTTAAATACTTTCAGAAGTAGTTTTCTACAAATCATGCTGCTAATGAAATTGAGCCTGTGCTTCTTTTTTCTTTCTTCAGCAGCACAGCAATACCTGCTAGTAAGAATAAGTTAAAGTCAGATCTTGCCCTTTACCTTTACAAATCCATTAACAAAAATGTTGCACGTTGGATAAACCACTGTAATAGAAAGAAACGCTTAGTTTCTACATGCATGTCTAAACGTCTCCAATCCCATCACATCTGGGATCAGCAGAACTAAATGGTGAATGTTGAAGTACTCTGTATAAAAGACATTTTTTTTTCTTCTTGACAAGTGTTAAATCTCATTGGCAGATGCAGTAAGCTCCTTTATATAAAAACAGTCAAATGTAAGCCATAATTTTGACTTCTACTTTTCCTGAAATTCTAAAAGTAAATAGTGATTTTTTTTTTTTGCCCATGGCTTAATTTTGTTTAGGAATATAAGTGAAGAAAATAACCTGTTGAATAAATAGTATTTAGATTTGTCTCTCTTTCTATCTATTAAGTATGTGCTTATAATATGAAACATTGTTGTTTGCAGGGAGACAAGGAGGCTGCTTTAGGTCTTCAGTTTTCCCCACTCTGTGACCGCAAATCTACTTTGGTAGCTCAGTCCCAAATAGGTAATGGCAAGTTATGTTTTCTTTTTTCTTCCCTTTGTACGAGCTTGCAGTATCATGTGGACCTTTCCTACACCCATTATGAATTTTAAATGTTAAAAATCCCATCTTTCAGAAAGTATTTCTTTGTACCTATTTGTTCACCGAACTGCCCTTAAAGCAGCAATGCACTCATCTCAAAAGAATATGAAGTTATTGAGCATGTGTGATGCCAGGGAGGTTTTAGGTAGCAGAGGTGTTTACCAAAGTGCTGGACATGAGCCTATCTTATACTGCTTGCTTTTTACAGTTTAGTAGACCATGTCCTCAATCACATTGGCTTTTGCTCAGGAGCCTGAAAGTCCGTCTGTGCTACAATCTAAAAGCCTGGTACTATTTTGTAGATAAATCTCAACTAAGGCTCATTCACACCTCAGATGCCTGGACTGCAGAGATCTGGCATGGCATAGCCAAGCTTTCCTGGGCTGACAAGAACCACTGCAATCTATTTTCATCAATTCTAATTGCGTTTTTGTCAGCAATAGCCAAACTTCTTTCCCATTTTCGTAAATACATGTCTTAGCTATCTCTACTTCCATTTCCTTTAGCAATAATAATGAAATAAAAATTGGTAAAAATCACTGGGGCTAGTTAGAAGGGCATACCTTAGATGCATATTGTATGAAGCCACATGTAGTAACAGCTGTACCTGTTGCATGAGTGAGTGCAGAGCTCCTGCAGAGATTCTACAGGTGAAAGTGTCTTATCCTTGAATTGAAGCATGTCATCCTGTCTGATCTTGTCACTCAGAGCATCCTTTATTCTGTTTGAGCGGGATTTGAAGCATCATATCTACTGCAGAAAGGAAGCTGGATCCTAGGCTGAAGCACCACTGCTCACCTTTGTGCTGTATGAAGACTCCTGGAAATCCATTGCTAGTTCACATTTTAGCTTTTTTTTTCCACTTTTTTTTTCCTCTTAAGTGCTCAGCAGAGAATAATGCTTCATTCTCTCACTATGTCATTCCATACCTTGACAAGCACTTTAAAATGTAAAAGACATTGTTCAGAGCTGACATCTCAGAACTGTGGGATGAATGCTGTCTCCTAGGAATATTACTTGTTCTCTTCACTGATTTGACAGAACACTCCTACATACTATGAGATAACACTTTACCTCCACAGAATAATAAACAGCATTTTGAAGTATTAACTCCTTGGCAAGAAGCTCTGTATGGTAAAGGAGGTAGTATGAGTTCTATCCTCTCGGCTCAGCTTTACTTCCTTCTATTCGATAATTAATATTAATTTCAAAATGGTAGGTGTGTTCTGCAGTACATAAAATTTACAAGAAAAAGAAATGAAAAGCTATAATTATTGTCTAGTTATATCTACACAGATTCACTAGTTGTTTTTTGTTGTTGTTTTGTTTTTCTATTTAGTTTTGCATTTTTTTCCTTGATTAAATGAATGATATCTAATATATTGAATCAGTACTACAGTAATAAAATCAGCTTGATATCAAGTATTTATTTTTAGTAATGAGAGCTGTGAAAATGTAAAATCTGACTTTTTCTCTTTTTTATTCCCCTTCAGGTTTCATTGATTTCATAGTAGAACCAACATTTTCTCTTCTTATGGACTCGATGGAGAAAATTGTTATGCCTCTTATAGAGGAAGCATCAAAATCTGAAAGTCCTGCATTTGGGACACCCGGGTATGAATACACTGCTTCTTTTTTGAACTGGCAAAATTAACATAATGTCCTTCTCAGAATTATCTTAGTACTTTCATCAGTGAGACAAATAATATGAACAACTATACAGTGGTGCCATCATGTGGTACTATCTTGTATTTGCAGTATGTTATTCCATTGACTGTGGATGAACTTGCATGTAAAAAGGCAAAACCACAATAAAGAACAGAATGCATACATAAAATATAAGTTCTTTTTCTATCACATACCTAAAGACAGCATTTTTTTCTTTATTATCTTTGTTCTCTCATCCTCAAGCCTTTTTCAGTAAAATTTTGACAGTTCTTTGATTTCTGACAGACAGTTGGAAGTGGAAGTGGTGAAAACAGCTTCAGTACTTTTCTGAGGTTTTTTTTGTTATATATTCATAGAATTGTAGAACGGTTTGACTTGGAAGGGACCTTAAGGATCATCCAGCTCCAACCTTCATGCCATGAAGTAAACCACTTTGCAGTAAACAAGCTTGCTCAAAGCCCCTTGAATGTCTTCAAGGATGGAGGCTTCTTTGGACAACTTGTTTCAGTGTCTTCCCCTCCTTCCGAATGAAGAATTTCTTCCTCATATCTAGCTTAAGCCCTCTTTCTTTTAATTTAGAGCCAATACCACTTTTCCTATCACTACACTGCCTGATAAAGGTGTTGTAGGTCACCTTCTTTCCTCACTTTCTCATTCTAGTATTACTTTATATATACACTTGAACCAGAATTGACTCTGCTTATATTCCATTTGTGAAATTTAAATACACTATAAATGAGATGCTTGTTGTTTTTTCGTTTGGTTGGTTTTTGTCTATCAAGCTTTTCATTTTTGCATCATGAAGAAAGGTGTCTACAAAACAGTCATGGGTCAATGTGATTACCTCTGAAAAGCCAGAAATAAGTTTGATTTTTTATCATTAAAAAAAAAAAAGAAGAAGAAAAAATTGAAATTAGTAAAGAGAGTTACTACAACTGGACATGTATCTGCATATTCACATTTAAATAATCAGTTTGGCCTGTACCTTGTCTTACTTGTAGAATAGCTTCAGTAGCATTTGAGTAGTGACTAAAGCCATTTTTTTCTTATTAATGTTAATATAGTAATGGTTCTTAGTATTTCACTTTCATATTGTTTAGAAGGGTTGCATTTTATTGCCACTCCATCCTGCTTTGACTACAAAGTCATGTAACATGAAGAGAATTTTTAGCTGGAACTAAATGCGTTTATGTGCCATATCCTATCACATCTTGCTTTTTTAAAATGGCATAACAATTAACAGTCATGTGTCTTTCCTGTGAGTCCCCAGATACCATTCCTGTTTAAAAATATAACTAAGAAGCTGTTCCAAAATAACTCCATAGACATTATTCAGGATCCAACATTCAAGTAGTGTACTTTCAACTGTCACTTTGATTTCTTTTTCCTCAAAGATTTCCTGGAAAAAGGTTGGCAAGAATAATTTTCAGGTTACAGCTTCATGAGTTGTGGAAATAGCTTGTACCTTAGGCATTCTTTGGTGAAGACACTCATCTCTAGATAGTGATTACGTGCAGGTCCTAAATAATTTGGTTTAAGTTAACTGTTTATGTATTTTTGAATATGCTCTATTTTGTTTATAATTTAGGATTTTTTTTCTTTCTGCAGCCAGAATAATTTGGGGGCAGTAAGCAATGTTGATGCACAAAGACGACACAATTTTAGAAGTACAGCAAGTGATGGAGCAGCTCACATGGAAAATTCCCTAGCAACTGTAGACCTAAGAAGCTTTAGGGACAACTTGATGCAGATAATTCAAGCAAACAAAGAAAGATGGAAGGAATTAGCAGTAGAAGGTATGATATAGTAAGAAGTTTTCATAGATTACTTTCTAAGACCTCTCCTAATTTTGTTTTTGAATTTCCCACAACCTGTAAAAACAGTTGTGTTTATGTATTTTATTTCATGTCTGTTTAGATGGCCCCGCATATAAGGTGTAAGGAGATGTAAGTAGTCAGGGGATGAGGGAAAATCATACAACCTGTACAATAAGGCCCTGTGTTGTTCAGCTAATCCTTAGAAGGCTGTTTTAGAAATGTGCATTTTTGCACGTTTAATCATAACTGATAATGACATCCACCTTAAATGCCAAAATCAGTAGTTTAAAGTATTATGTACTACCATGTTTCTTAAAAAATGTGGAAGATATACTTTCTATTAGAAATGCTATTTGTTTCACACTTTATGGAACAAAATTCAGTATTTCAGGCTTCTCGGGATTATGACGTAGGCAGTTATTTAAATGACCCAGTGAATGGAAAGATTTGGTCAATCACAGAATGTTTTAGACCCAAACAAGGCTGAAAATGACTCTTAATTTCCAGCTGATAGTTAGTAAAGCCAAACTTACTCATGGGTCTTTATTTATGAGCCATACCTGAAAATTGTCTGGGGTTGCAGTCATCTAAGTACAATGATTTGTGATAATTATTGGGTGAACACTTTGATCCATGTTAATTGAATGCCATTTGGGAACATATTATCTTCACAGTCTGTGCGGTTTCCAAGTAAGCACCTGGAACATTTGAGTACGGTGTTTCAGAGCTGGGACTTGTCTCACTATATGTGATCTCACACTGACTGCAGGGAATGGTATACCGCTACTCAGTGCCAGCCTTGTCTTTCATACTGCCATTCCACAGCAGCTTCTTTTTCTCTTGAAGGCAATGCTAAAATGTCATGTAGTGCTAAATTGCAAATGAATATTCTTGTTAAGAGAAAACTAAAAACAAGCTTCTTTTGTATCTACCACTAACCAGCCATTTTGATTTTGGTACATCAGCATTCTGGTGCACTGATATGGAGGTGTACAGTGTTATTAAAAAGATAATTCCTTCTTCATTTCCATTACTTTGTAGTTCTCTATAAATTACTGATAGATTCAGTCATGTAAGCCTGGACCATTGACAGCCATTGAAAAGACAGAGCTTCTCACAGCAAGAGGTTGAAGAATGCTCTGGAGCAAGCGATTGTTTCTCCATACAGTCAATATTGTTATAAGTCCCAGCAAGATCCAAATCCAAGAAGTCAGACATGTTTTCTACTGTGAGAAACAGAGCTGTTAACATTCAAGATCTTCTTCTTTTCCTCCATCAACCGAAGAAGTATGTTTAGGTATTTCCTGACCAGAATTATGGAATTGCAGTAGAGCGTTCATTAAAAAAACTGATGAGTTAGTGAAATAACTTGTAGAGGCTAGAAAAGCATGAGGATCTTCAGGGTTCTTGCTTAGCTTCTAGGTTAGATATCCCTCGAATAGCAAAAATGCTTTTGAGTACAGACTTCTATTTTGTTAGTACTGTAGCAGAAATGCTACATCAGGGTCTGAACCAGTGATTGAGCACCTGGTGGGAGGCAGGGCCAACCCAGGGGAGCTCAGGTGTATGCAGTGACACTGAGTGGCTAGAAGGGGTGTAGCCAGGATCCACCCGTTCCCACACCTCATTTAAGGGATGGTGGTGGAGGTAAGGATATCTCACTGGATATCCTTACGTATCTGAGGCCTTCTGGAGGTAAGCAGCTTCTTTCATTTGTTTCTGTGCCCACAGTTGTTGCATTTGAGCAAATCTCACCTGCTGCAGCCTGGGATCTTGCTGCTTTGCTGTCATTGCTGTGCTTTCCATTGCGTTACAGTACATAGGCACTGTGTTTTTTAAAAATAAAAGCTATGGGAGGATTTTGGAGGTTTGTGGAAATTACTTTCCATTTATGTTTTTGTGAACTAATATTATTTTTATTCCATGTATGGGCATAGAGGGTTGCTGGAAGAGAATAAAAGAATTTTTCAGTAAAAGAATGTAACCCTCTATGGAACAGTACCTGAGGTAGCATATGTGTTCTTTGTCACATAATTAGGGAAGGAGTCTTCCCTAGTTGGTTGGGATTAACATATACCTGCCCTGAGGCTGTACTCTATTAAGGCTGAAAATTCTTAGTCAGAGTGTGCAGAATTAACATGTGGTAATCAACGAAATGATTTTGAACAATTTGTACTTGAAATTTCTGTCAGCTTGCACTTAAGTTTAACTAAGTTTCTAAGTGAATTATGTGAGATCTTGAACTTGGGGCTATTTGTCCTATTTTGTCTGGACCTTCTGCCAGTTCCTCTGACTTTGTTGCTTGCTGAGAAGTTATTAGGCTGCTGTGGGCATATGTATGAATCTGTATTTTAGTCTTATGTGAGTAGGAGCACCTACTGTGGGAAGGAATACCAGTGCATCACTATCAGGTGAAAGGAATGTTGTTGTTCCTACAGTTATTCCTAAATAAGTAACTTATTACAAACCACAATGAGCTGAGGTTGCTGAGAGGGTGATGTGCCTGAGGACAGCATGCCTGGTAGGCAGGCTGGCTGTTGACATATACCTCCAAACACTTTGAGTGGCCTGTGACTAATAGTACTCATTCTTTTACAAGAATGATCTACATTCCTGTCTGTAAGTTGCAGTTACTAGGTGCTGTTACCAGACCACTAAATTAGTTCACAGACTCAAGAGAAGAGTTGTCTCTACAGTGTATGGTGGTGCAGATGCATAAAAACAAATGAAAACTAGCAACAATCCCTATGATTTCCTGAGCAGGAATTGCATTTCCTTCAGCTTCTCACCTTCATAGGGTAAGGCTGTAGGTGCAGCTCTGGCCTGGAGGCAGTACTGTGGATGCTGCAGGCCTGAGGTAAATAATCTGACTCCTGTGTCTAAAGTAGAAGACCAGGATGCACTGATGTGGTGTTTGATGGGAGACCCAACAGGTCTAGCAGCTGCTGCTGCTGCCGCCCCTCCCTGAAAAGATCCTGGTGAGACTGCTGACTCAGAGCAAGCAGCTTGGTGCAAGGAGCAAAGTGCTTTATTTTCAGAGGGCCTGTGTTAGCAAGGAAATCATTTATCTACCAATGCAGCTGTTTGTGAGCTTCCTTAACAGGAGGCTTTCAAAATGAGATGGCTCTATTTTGCTTAAAAAAAGAAAAACAAAAAGAAAAACAAACAAACAAGAAAACCGCCTTGTCTTGTATAATTGATGCAGAGGAGCTCAGTGCTCTATAGCCTAAGGGTCCTCAACTTTCACCACTGGAGAATTAGAGGAATGTGTCTCAGGCCTTTCAGGGAATTTTGTTAACAGGGAATTACCATAATGATCAAACATCTGGGATTCTAATTTGAAAGTCTTGATGTTTAATTAATATTCCAAACCCCTAATCACCAGATAATCTGTCTTTGTTCAACACAACAAATGATAAAGAGACCTTCCATCCCCTGATTTTTTTTTTTTTCTTTTTTTTTTCTCAACACATAATGGTGTTAACTGCTGCTAGTTGAAAGTGTGATAGTTACAGCAAATTAACAGTAAAGATCACTCTGAGAGGCTGTTTCATTGGAGATGCTTGTTAAGTCAACTTTGAGGTCTGAGCATTATTGACCTCTGAGAAGCCAGTAAGAAACAACTTGTTTGGAAACATATAACTGTCATGCAGTTCTACTAGGAGCATTAAAAATTATCTTCACTTTACAGTTGAGCAAAAAGAGTGACAGCTTAGGGCGCTCACCCAGATCATATAGTAGAAGAAGAGAATGTAGTATACAGACCAAGGGTCCAGATGCCAGTTGGATGGGCACATCACTAAAGCATGCAGATGTTCCACTGCAGGATAATACAACCAGTACTGTTATTCATTGTTCCTAGAGCTTCATTTTGAAGGAAAAAGAAAACTGCTCTCATCTTTGCAGTGTGGGTCAGTTTATTAGCTTTTATTATTATTATTTTGCATTTTTTTCCCCTGGGCTGCAACTTTGAATAACAGATGCCTCTTCTGAAAGACCTCTGGATCGTATCTGCAGGCTTCCCTCAGGCACTTTCAATCCTGCATCCTTTCAGCTACAATAACCACAAGGTTTAGCTCCATTTTTGTCTGAAAGATCATCTCTGTAGACTCCCTAATAAGAAGAGAGTAACAGCTGCTGAAATGCAAAAATCTGATAGCATGTTAATGTGATTTAGCTGCTGCTAGGGTGGTGGGAGGATGTGTGTGACACTCATGGAAATCGACTGACAGTTTGGCGCATGAAATCTACTCTAATAGACTGTTTTAATCTGTTGAACAAAATAAATTCAGAGGTCTAATGGAGTCCCAGCTAAGACCAGAGACAGTGATTTTTTTATTTATTTTTATTTATTTTTTTTTTAACTGCAGTGCTAAAATGCTTCAGTCAAAAGTGGTCTTTGAGCTAACTTAGTGTTAAGAATCGTGGGAAAAGAGGTTTTTCTGAAGTCTGAGTAGGTGCAGTGAATGGTTTGAGCCAGGAGCGTCAGGAAGTGTTTTGTGTTGGTGATGTTTCTCAAATCAGACTTGAGGAATGGTAACTGAACCAAAGCAGAACCTTCTGCACATCCCCCACATCATGTACCAGAGCCATCCTCCCTCTGCAGGTGGCTCATGGCTACCCACAAGCAGGTTGAGGGTGGAGTGTCCCTTTTGTCCCTCAAGCCCCAGAGTTCTGGCATTAAAATCTCTACACTTACAGCTAAACAGCAAAAGGGAAGTTAAAAGGTGGAGGTTTACTTTTAACCAAGTCCTTAAGTTAAAAGTTTTGATGGCTAATGAGTCCTTTTGTTATGTTCTCTGCATGACACAATACTGTGACATCTGGCACCATCAGGTTACACGGTTTGCAGTAGTTTTTCATACTCCTATAGCTGTGATGAAATTGCAAATGAGAAGGTGAAAGTTGAAGGAGTTGGTGTCTGCTTAAGTGGGTTGCAAGCTACTCTTGGATTTGAAACGGACAGGAAACCAGTCACAGTTGTTTGGGAACTTCTGGAAATTTCTTTGAAGAGCAGCACAGACACCAGGGCCAGTCCTGTTTTCTGCATGGTTCTGGTGTTTACTACTGCTCTCTTTCTCCTCTCTTTACAATGGTAGGTGTGAGAATGCATCATCTGGAAAGATGGCATTCCTTCCCATGTTATCCTGGGTCCGTTTTTCCAGGTTTTTCCATTAAAAAGCAGACAATCCCCAAAATCAAACAGTTTGTGGTAATATACAAAGGGGGTCTATAACACCAAGTGACATTGTTGTGATTTAATCTGGCTGGTGGCTCAGCACCACGCAGTTGTTCACTTAGTCTCCTGATTCCCAGAGGGATGGAGGAGAGAATCAGGAAAAAGTAGAACTTATGGGTTGAGGAAAAAACTCTTTACTAAGACAGAGAAAAGGAAAAGGATAATAGTTATGACTATATGTAAAAAGTGATGCACAAGGAATTGCTTGCCACTCCCTGACTGATGCCCAACTAGCCCCCTGAGCAGTGGAAGAGAATGAGATGAACTCCCACCTCCTTCAGAACTCCTTCCACACAGTGTCATCTGGTATGGAATATCCCTTCGGACAGTTTGAGTCAGCTGTCCTAATTCTGTTCCGTCCCAGCTCCTTGGGCCTTTCTTTGAGAACTGTGTAGCAGTGCTTAGCAGCAGCCATAAACATCAGTGTGTTATCAACATTGCTTTTCCCCTAGAACTGTAAAACAATCCAAGGAGGGCCTGTGATTTAAAGAACCCACTTTTACAGATGCTTATTAAGCCAAAAATAGAAAGTGACTTAATGAAAGAAGAGTAATATTTGGTGAAAAGGGTAGAGAAGTCATCTTCAGTGGTTAACACAACAAGCAAACAAAAACAACTACAAAACTCTCAAAATCTAGAACTACTGAGTACCAGAATGTTTCAGCTATTCTGGAAGTTGGCTGTTAGATCACAGCTCCTGACAGATTTCCAAACAAAGCGTGGAAATTACTTTGCCAGCATCCCAGCCTAAACACGCGAGATGAAACGCACCACTTGTGTGGTGCTTACTTATCAAATGACATTGTTTCTTCTCGTGAAGGATAGTGGTTTATGGCAGGAGTTCAGGAGTCAGAACAGAAGTACCAAAAAGAACGGCATGACTGACTGCTAACAGATCTTTTAGGAGAGGCAATGTTTTACAGACAAACATTAAGAAATTTTGATGGTTGCACTTGGGTTCTTGTAAAGAGAACTAAACCATTGACAGTGTGTAAATAATGCTGGCTCCAGGCACTTTTCCAGAATTGGAGCAGAGAGAGGAAGAAGTGTTAACAGTGTTAATGCCTGCTCTGAGTTCACTGCCTGCCTTTATTTGAATGAGGGCAAATAAGCCAATAGCCAATATTGTGGCCAGCAAGGATTAAATGAATATAATGCTTATAACCGGCTATAAGCAGATATGTTCTAACTTGCTTTGGACAGATCTGTTATCTAACTTTATTAAACTTGCAAATGCTAGATTACCTCATTCATTTATCGTGCCCCATTTCCATCTCTGGTTGGCCACAGTAAGGTATGCCCATGGAGGAGCAGGAAGTTGCACTTCCTAGAAGTGCAGTGCGGGGTGAAGTTCCCTGCCCAAAATGGTTGGATGGAGCCAAAGGCTCTGCCCTGCTCCTGTCCAGCTCTCCTGCCAGTCTGCTTTTCTCACTCCAGTGACATCAACTCAGCAGTGCCTCACATGAATCTTAGTTATTCTCTCATTGTCTGAGCCTCTTCTATAATCTGCTGAATGTTTATGTTCCAACTCTTGTAGTGTGAGCTAAGTTACTACTACAGTTCTAACAACAAATACCTAAATCAGTAACGTTGTTAGAGAAATCAATATACTAGAGATAGATCAATGTACAGTCAAAGGCACTTCAAAGAAACCTTTAGGAAAACCCTACTCAAGTTTTTGCTTATCCTGAGCACAGCAAATAAACATCTCCAAGAAAGTCTAAATGGATTGACATATAAACAATTTTAACTTATATAAGTATTATTTATTATTTTAATAATATTTATTATTTTAATTTTTTCAGACTTCTCTTTTCTGTATGTGTATGTAATTATATTTTAGCTTTCCTTTCCTCAACTTACTGATGCAACTGAACATCCAAAATTGTATTATGAAATTTCCTTGGGTTTCTTATAAAGTTAAGGAAAAATTACTGTAGCTCTGCCATATGGGAGCAAATATAGCTTGTAAATCAGTTTCCTGGGACAAAAGCCTTAGGTGGGTAGAATAGAATTGCTCAGGTTGGAAAAGACCTTAAAGATCATCAAGTCCAGCCATGACCTAACCATACTACCCTAACTAACAACCCTCTGCTAAATCATGTCCCTGAGCACCACGTCCAAATGGTTTTTAAATACGTCCTGGGATGGTGAATCAACCACCTCTCTGGGGAGCCTATTCCAGTGCTTAACAACCTTTCTGTAAAGTAGTTTTTCCTGATATCCAACCTAAACTTACCCTGGCGCAACTTAAGGCCATTTCCCCTCATCCTGTCACCAGTGAGAACAGACCAATCCTGCTCTCACTGGAAGCACCTTTCAGATATGGGAAGAGAGCAGTAACGTCTCTGCTCAGCCTCCTTTTCCCCAGACTAAACAGCCCCAGTAAGTTACACCTCAAATGACAGATACTGTAATGAGCATACCTGGCTTAAACATCAGATTTGCTTTAAGCTATGTATTCCTATTTCTCAATGTCTTTATCCCAAACAATTATTTAAGTATTGCTCAGTCTGCAATGTTTGCACATTTTAAATTGGAGGAATTTGTATCTTTTATAATAGTATGCAGATTCCGAAATCTGAATTTATGAAATGGATTCTAATAACAAGAGTAATGGTTCTACCACAAAATTTCTCACACTTGTGATTTCTTGATTTTCTTTTAAGTATGCCAGGAAGTATAATATAGGTTATTTTTAATCAGACTGTTCATCCTATGTGACTCTTCCATTGTCTGTTTTCTTCATCTTCTTGGTTTGTCTTTGTATGATCTCCCTGTGCTTCTGTTTTCTGTCTCCTTTCACTCTGGGCCATTTCATTTGTACTTTTCATTGCAGTGTCTCTGCAATGAAGCATGCAACAGAGCTTTCTGTGAGCATTTTTTTTGATCCTGTTGCTGCTGACCTCTGAAGCACAATTTTTTGCCGTATTTTTTCCTTTCCCATTCTGTATGTTCTGCTAGCCATGGAGGCAGCAGAAATGGATTGCATGCATATAGACATTTGAAATGTGTTTTGGCTTAAGCTATTAGTTGCTGTGTTGGGCTTTTCCAGCCTGAGGGACAAACACCCATCAGGGCTTTCCTTCAGTGCTGATGCCTCCCTCTTCCTGGAATGGTGCTTCTCTCCATGTCCCTTCTCCATTACAGAACTGGTGAGCTCTGCTCCGCTTAGTCATAGTATGGTAAGCTGGTGCTTCGGCACGAGGCTCTTCTATTCCCACCCTTTAGCATACAGTGTATTTGTTGCTGCTGCTCATATTACCTCCAGATAAAGAAGTACACGTTAGAGGTCAGACCAGAAAGTAGACTGCTATGATTCAGTTGCAATAGCATAATCGGGATCTGACCTATATTTAACTCATCAGTGCACCTGTCCTTGTGTAGAAAGTTGATGCTCACAGTGTTCCCATATGCAACTCAGTCACTACTCTGAAATCAAACAACTGTGGCATATCCTCATATCTAATTCGCGTGTTTTGTTCCCTCTTTGTAGAAGAACTTGTGAAAAATGTTGATGAACAGGAAAAAGACCAGAGCAGAAATTCCACAGATGCACAGTTACAGGAAGAGACAAGAAGCAGACAAAATGAGAGTAGTCAGGGAAGCGATGGTACAGCCTGTCCTCCCAGACCCATCGTCCTACAAGTAGTCACTTCCAACACTGCTCTGAGTGATGAATCCAACTCAGAAAAATGCACTAACTCTGATCCGAACCAGAAAGATCTCACCGATGCCCAGCAAGAAACACAGAATACAGACCCACTGAATGGTAATACTTCATGACAAAGCACCAGTCAATCTAATGAAGCTGTCCAGGGTGAAGCTGCAGCAGTGTCTGGTATCTCCCTGTCTAACTTCGACAGTGGTAAAATATTAAAACAAAGTGTTGTAAGAGAGTTTCTTCAGGAGTATGTAGAAGCAAAAGTGTCCTAAACCCATAAAGTAAAGACATTTGATATAAGCAAATATCATCTTCATATATTAGTTATTTGGTATCTAGTAGAAAGTCCTTTATGTGAAATACCAAAACTTTTAGTTGAACAGGAGAATGATTTTAAAGAAATTTAAAGGTATGTGTTTGCAGTTAATTAGCACTTTGTAACGGGAGAATCGGGTAAACTTCCAAAACAGGAGTATTCAACTTTTGCTCTTATTATAGGTAATTTCTGTTGTGCAGTTAAAATGCAAACCCTTAACTGAGGCACTTCATATGACTGTGATGTTGTAAACCATTTCTGTTGTACTAAATACAATGTGAATTTGGAATTTACTCTGATCACTTTACATAGATGTGATTTGCTAGCAGTAGTAGGCATGGGACTGGGTCATCCTCTCAAGAATTGTAATCTGATTGTAATTTGCTGGACAGGCAGAGAAACCAAAACGTTCATATGATGTCAGAATATTTTTTTTTTTAGAATGCATGTATTTTTATCACAAGGTGGTTATGATTTGGTATATGTTCATTATGTGACATTATCAGTTCAAGATGCCCAAGAAACATGAATAGGTTTTATGGAAGTAAGAGAAATCAGTGTGCATTTTTTATTATATTCATGTGGTCTGAATAGTTTATTTTTAGATTATGTTAAAGATATTAGGGTAATAAGGATAATCAAGGCATATAATGGTATTGTTTCCCTCTCTTCCAGTTATAACACTAAGCTCATTAATGATGAGCTAACTGTGAGCCTTGCAGTATTGTGCCAGAAGTATGGCAATGTGTGAGCAGCGATGTTTAAATGCTTGTAAGACTTAGACTAGGCACAAGTATATGACTTGGCATATCTCTGAACACTTCCTTTTATGGAGAACTCCCACTTATTCATTCTGGAGTCCAACATTCACCAATTTCAGTGCTCCCATGCTTTTGTTGACAGATATATATATTTTTTTCCATCAGCAATAACAGATGGTTAATTTAGGGTTCTAAATCAAAACATTTACACAAAAATTAATTCCACAGCATTTGAAGTTGTCTAGTGTAGCAATTGGACAGATCAATATAATGGGAAAGGCATTACAACAAAGGTGACCACACAATAGAAAGGTGCCATAAGGGAAGGGAAGAAGATTGCTCACCCGTATCAGAAGATTCCAAGTTCACAGGGGAAAGCTTCACCAAGGAGGGATTGACACAGCTGAATTGCCTTCACCTGTGCAACCCAGGGCTGACTAGGTTCTTTCCCCAGGTGCTCAATCAATGGTTCAGGCTGTGATTCAGCAGTTCCTATACATCTAGCAATTGACATTTTTGTCTTTGATATGTGTTTTTGTACCATTTTTTCTACTAATGCTCGTTTTGAAACTTATGTGCCCTGGAAAAGTTTCCCGTCTTCTGAGTGTAGAGTACAAGCTCCAAAGATGACATTTGAGGTGTAGCTGTCATTTTAATGGAAATAAATAGTTTTGGTAATGTCCTGAATGAAAAACCAGAGCTTTTACAGGGATATCACTCTCACCCTTTGCATCACTGAAGAGGCAACAGTACCTAAGCTGTGGGATGATAGCAAATCATGGAAGAAGGAGGGATAGAGCTGGAGACATAATGCATCAAGTTATCAATCACACAGTAGGAGAACTGGCATATTATTTTTCAAGGCAGCTTCAGGGGTTGAGCTGTGTGCTGGCAGCTGGGATCCCCCAGCTTACACCTGAGCCATAGCAGATTTTGTAATTGATAGCCAGAAAAAAATTTGGTATAATAATGTACATTTCTCTACAGAAACTTAACATCTGTACTGGAAAAATGTAGTCATCTGCATAAAGATCTTTGGGAACAAAAGGATTTTGTTTCCAAAAGAGGGATTTTTCTCCAGACTGCCCTGTTCTGTAAGCCTTGCCTTTTCCTCCTGGTGAGTGAGAAGTAGTGGCTGCTGTTCATGCTGCTAACAGAACATGTGCCCAGCTATAGTGAGTTCTTAAACATAGTTTGGAAACTATTCATCAGCTGTAGCTTGTTAATGAATGTAGTCATCGCAGGGAATGATACTGTTTGGAGAATGTCTGTGTTCCTGGTTCGCATCTTGCACTTTTAAAAATTCTTTCTAATAGACTTATGTGTCTTTGGTCAACCAACTTAAGCCTAAAAGATATTTTTTAGTTTCGTAAACCTTTTGTGGAGTCTGTTGTAAGTAAGTCCTAGTTCCACCAGCCAGAAAACTGCAAGATGAGGCTGGATTTCTCCTTTTCCTGAAGAGCTGGTTTCTCATTTACACTGTTGCAGATATGAGTACTACAATGCATAGAAAAAAGGCATTGATTAGGTTTTGGTTTTAAAAGGCATCTGATATTTGTAGGCCTTTTGTTGTCATTTTTGTAACAGATATTTCTGTGAAACTTCTGTTCTCTGCAGTGTGTTGAATTTACTTTTAGCCATCTCCTTCTTTGTGTTTGTATTCCAGTAGAGAGAAATCACAGGGAAGTGGAGAGCTTGATGTTTTCTGTTGCATATTAATGTTTGAGCTGAACGCTCTCTGAATATGTTCTTTTAGATATTCTGTGCACTGATAGTGTAATGCTTGATATCAGATTTACTTATCTGAAGATATTTGATGTTACATTGCCCTTGTCCATGTCCACCGAGCTTTCTTCCACTGCAGGGCTTTATTGGTCGTCACCATGTCATTTATCTTCTGTTTTGATTTCACTGAATTGTTTGATTTACACTTTAATAACATTTATTCTTGTATTTTCTCTATTTTCTCCAAATTTAAATCTGTCATAGGAAGCTATTTTGAATACTTTCCGGTCTTTTGAAATGACTTACAGAGAGACTATGTCATCATATTCTTCAGACTTTCTTTTCTAAGGACAGAGGGGCAGCCATCCATATATATATGCTAAAGATATTAGGGTATATATATATGCTCAGCAAAAGAAAAGAAAGACAAAGCAGGAGCTCAGTATTGAAATAGCTGGCAATATCCAGTACCAAAGGGAATCCTCAGGTTAAAATGTTTCATACTTCTTTTACGTTACTGAAATGATTTCTTATTCTTGTAAGTGGAAGGACTTTCCTTGAACTGTTGTTGTTGTGTAAATGAGCATAACACTGGTGGTTTTGCATGGTTTTTCTTGGCTGCAGTGTGTGTGGAGGTTGGTGTCTAATACTGCAGTTGTTGAATTCTACTGGATTGGACAATCAGCCATTCATGAGTAGCATCCGGAATACAGTACTCCCACTTAGCGTGTATTTTTCAAAATCAATGGCATATTAAAATACCTTATGAGGTGCAAACGATGAACCTCAGAGAGACCTTTATATATGCTGAATGTGTATCAGAACTCAAATTGCTGCTGGTTTTTCTGGGTGGAATTTACATCTCACTATGTGAGAAACAGGATTTTGTTGAACTTATATTTTTCCAATGGAAAATACTGAATTAATTCTAACATGTAGGGATTTTTTAGTTGTATAATCAAGTGAGAAATGCCTTGAATTGACATATGAGAAATGTTTTTTAATATTTTATTTAGAACATCGTCTTAAAGTAAAAATAAGATTTTAAAAAGTAAATGGATGTTGCAACTTTAAGGCGATATTCTTAACTAACTCAGAATATGAAAATAGTTAGGATTAAAACATGTTTTGCTATAGTTGGAGTGCATGATGCCTGATGGACAGTGACTGCTTGTCAGTGTGAGCATTAGGAATGCAACACATTTATTCTTAGCATCCAGCATCTTCCAGAAGGTGGAAGTGTTAGGATAAGATATTCCTTGCCTATGGAATAGGACACACCAAAGGAAAACAATAGTGCATGTGTCCTCTCCGATCTTTAAATAAATTCTAAGTCTCAAAGGAAGTATGAAATAGGATGTATTGTGTCATCATAATAAACCATGTGCGCTTTCCCATAAGAATATTTTCTCCCTGGGAGTAAAGAGAGGCTGGGGAGAAATAATACAGAGCGATCAGGAGGAGTATAACTGCAAAATAAGAAATTCAGCAGTGTATGCTTACGTGCAAAAGTAAATGCGTGTAGAATGAGAACAGGCTGTTGGGAAAGAGGGAAGGTACCTCACTGCAGACCCCAGGAACTGAAGAATTAAAGGAAAAAAGACACCACATATCTGTATTCAATCTACATTCAGCCTTGTCCAGAAACCATGATTAATCTTAAATGTTATTTTACTTCTCTCATCTGTTCTTCCTCCATATGGTTAAAGAAGTGTTCCTCCATTTAGCAACCTAAAACCTATGGGTTGGCTCTGGCATTTCTTACTGTCAACATATGAATGTCAGATAGGAGCAAATAACTTTTGTGCCTTTTCTCACCTTCACAAACAAGTTGTGTTTGAGAAGACCAGAAGGGAGAGCTGTGCATGATGCAGCAGTGTTTAGCCCAGCAGGATCTTTCCCTGCACAGCTCTGCATCCCCACTTCTCAATTCTACACCTGTGTTGATAGCTAGCAGATCCAATCAGGCCACTTTGTAAAATAAGGGCAGGTATCTTCAACAGCTTCACTTGCAAGGTGTAGAAGGCAGCATATGCATCTTTTAAGTTTTCTCTGTACATTTATCTGGGCAGTATGAACACACCTTGAAAAGAGAGAAAAGGCACTGCTTTCCACTCCTTGCATCACTCCTCTTTCTCAGTTATTTACCACCACATTATACCAGGGTCTGTTTCCCTGTGTCCCAGTCAGAGCAAAGAGAGAACTGCTGGGGAGCTCAGGCCAGGGCTGAGTGTGTCTTCTTCCACAGCACTGCTCCCCTTCCTCAGTCTCACTGTCGTTTAATTGCATATTACAAGATTAAGTGGAACTGCTAAAAGGTGATTTTATTTAAGTGGTGGTTTTCGTTTTCTCCTGGGTGATTCATTAATTGGAACATTAATTTTAAAAACTGCTTATGTTTAATTAAACAACTTCATGTTTCAATGATTTATAATGGCTAGTTGGCACACTTTTAACTTTTCACTCATGATGATAGCCACATTAATCCTTAGTATCAGAATGTAAAAGGGGACAGTAAATCTGCAGTAAAGCAGGATACAGGTAAATTCATCCCTGATGACAGTAGAGGACTGTCAAGCACAGTGTGTTGCAGTGAGCACGCAGAGCCTTCAGCAGACACTCATGGTAAGGCTACACAAGCCCACTGCAACAATACACCAGTTCAATTCATGGCAATGTGGACAGCATCAAATAGTACCTGTGCCGTAGCAATGCCAGTGGCCCTGGCTGCCAGTCCCATTGGTGCTCAGCAGATGTGGATGGAGGTTGTGTGCTTTGTTAGCATTAATTGTGCACCCTTCCCCATGACGGCAGCGGGAACCCAAAGGAGGCATCTGCATCTGCACTGGGATGAGGATAGAGGGAAGGAGATGTTGAAGGAGCAGATGGTGTGCTAATAAAAAGGATAGGGATAGAAGCCCTCAGCAACTATTGCAAAGTTGCTACAAAGTGTATGCACTGCTGTGAGGAAAGTGAAGTGTGGCTCAGGATTCAGTGTTCAGTTTTTACAAAGATTAAACAAACACGCAATGCTGTGTTAGAGTGGGCAGTACCCTGGCAATGAAATCATTGGTAAAATCCAGTAATGAAATTCTTGCTTGTTTACTGCAATACTGTGGTAAATTCAGGGCTATTCATTTTTTTTTCTTTCCTCGTGTTCATTGTCATGAACTCTTTTTCCTTTCTAAACTCTGAGCCTCTTTTTCAGCTTCAACTCCCTGTCTTTCAGATTGCCTTTCAAATCGCACATCATCTGCTTTCATTTCTAGCTGCTTATACCTTTGTTTTTGTCTTCCAAAAGTTTTCCCCATGTGTGTTTTTGTTTCTAAACTTTTCCCTTCTCTCAGCTCACTTTCTCTGCGTTTGATACTTATGTGGCTTTCCTTTTTCACATTTTTAAGTCACTATTAGTGGGATCACTCCATCCATTAGTTAAAGCTAAGAATTTACCATATAGTTTGTATATAACTCTGAAATTTTGCTGCATTCCCCCCCATGTCTGCTATCCTTAATCAGTTTACAATTTTTCCGGCAGTGCTTATTCAAGGAACAGCTTAAGCAGGAGCTCTGTGTAATGATTGGAGGTTTGACAGTTGTACTGTGTCACCTAGTTTGAAATCTACTTGTACTGCTAGGTGTCACATTCCCTATCTGATTGAATTAATTGAATTTTCAAAACTTGACATTGGCATCTTCCACTGTCTGAGAGCAATTTATGCCTATTTTGTTTGCCTACATTGAAGAGGATTTAAACTGCACATCTCTGCTGAGGGTGGTTTGTGATTTTTCGATAAATTAGAAGTTAAAAACACAAAACACTTCATTAACACTCACGTTGTTGCATTTTTGTTTCATGGTGTAGTCTATTGCTTTCACTCTATCTTTTGCACTTTAGATAAACCACAACAATTAGTCAATTAAATCCAGTACTTTCTATGCTGAGGAAACAGTTAAAGAAAACTGTGAATGAACCCTCGCTGTAACATTAATAAAAGAAAGGGGAAAGACATTACTGCCTGTCCAGAGCTCTGCAGATGCTATAAATTTCTTTCGCTTCCTCGCTCAAGTTCTTAATAACATTTTTTCTTTCTTCCAGGTGAGCCTACACACTGTAAGCAAACGGAAGATATAGTAAAAGCCGCGGAACAGAATCAAGCACTGGTACACAACTAGATTTACTGTTTCTTAAAAGCTTCTGATGTTTCTGGCAGGACAGGTACTTTTGTCATTTCTTTCTTATAATGGTGATAGTTTTGTACCATGAAGACTGGCTCATTGCTATTATTATTCTCTTTATTCTGTCTTAGTTGTGGGTTTATCACAAAACTTTGAGTCAGGAGTATATTGCAACCCACTTTTTGTGTCCCTTTAGAAGTCAATTCACCATAACAAAATGGAAAAACAGTACTGTGTATCTGAATTCTTAATGTGAGACAAAATAACCATGCAGTAAAACATCTCCAAGTCAAGTATACTGAATACTAGAAATATGCGGTAATAGTAGTAAAAATCTATTGTTTATGAATTTTTACTTGAACTCTGTTGCAGAAGAAGAGAGCACTGTTCCTACCTCCATGCTCTCAGAGGCTGTTATCTGTCAACTTACTCTCAGATCATCTTGTTTCGGTGGAGGCTGGGCAAAAGGATCAAAAGTGTAAAACATCAAACCCTGAGCTGGGAACTCAACGCACCGAACAACTCCCAAGATCTCTGTCATATTTGTTGTTGCTTTTTCCTTTTCTATTCTGCTTTCTTAAACTGGCCAAAATAATTTTTCCAGCCAAAGTTGGACCTTGCTTTGTTGCATCACTGACACCAGCCGTTTCCAAGAGACATGTGAAAATATGTTAAAGATCATCTGCACTGGATTGCTATTCCATGTCACTGCCGCTGGCATCTAATGGAAATGGAAAGCCAAAACAAAATACTGTCACAGACACTTGTTCATGCAATCATGCTGCATGCAACATGAAAGTTCTACTTGTTAGCTTCCTTAAAATATCTGGAAATGTAAATATGTGGACGGTGCAGGAAGTCCGAGAGTTGTACTATCTAACCTGCATGAATAATGACTCTTTCCCATGTCTGCCACGTGGAGAGAGATGGTGTTTAACAAATCAGTATTGGAAATATCACCCAGTATTATGATTAAAACATACTCAGCCCTACAGTGTTTGTCAGATGTCGGCGCTGGTGTCAGCCCTACTACGAAGCTGGTGCTTATGGTTTCACAGGCAGAAAGAGACTGCTACACAGATACACAAAAATTGCTACCCTCCAGCAAAGCGTAGTATTGTCTCTCAGACAGAACTGGAAGGTAATATTGAGGCCTTATATAATGAGTTTGCTCAAATGAAAAGGTGACAGCATGGATCTGACGAAGTCCTCCCTAGCTTTGCTTCGTTCAAACACCAGAGCATCTTTCTCTGAGACGCAGCACAAGTGGAGCACACAGGCACTTACCTCTGCCGGATGTCTTGGAATGAGCCCTGCAGCCCAGCTGTGCCTAGAAGAGGCTCCATGTTCATCTCTGCTCCTGCTGAGCCTTGTGGGACCTCGTGCAGCCTGCACCCAACCTCACTTTACTGCAGCCAACGAGGAACCTTCCTCTCTCCTTTCACCTTGTACTCTCCTGGTTAACTTGGGTCACTGCATTCCTTTTTTTGGATCCTGTGTATTACCTCGATGACCAAGTCTGCAGTCAGCCATGGGCCACACAAAGGCGGGCTTGTGGGGCAGCATTGCTCCCCGCTACGCAGAGCCCTGGATGCTCATCCGCTGCTTCAGGAACCTAATTATAGCTTCCCATGTACCACAGGCTCAGCCTCCAGAGAATGTGTTTTGTCCCAGCTGAAGGAGGAGCAGTAAACCAGCCACCCCACACGTAGGGGCCTGTGCGTCTCTTTTCCTTTGACTGTCTCCTTTCTGACAGCAGAGTCATTGAAATTGAGCTGGGAACAATATGAGCTCTGAGCCCTGGGATAAGGGCATGCCAAAAGGTGGAATTTCTGTCGTTGAATATGTAAGCCATATACACACTATGCACAGTTAGAGTGTGTAGTTTTAACTTAAGAAATGTTTGTGCATATAGGTTGTAAAAAGTGCATTTAAATTGTTTTGTGTATCTGGTCCAGGGCTTGTATTTGGCATGGACAAAGTTCTGTACAGTGCAGCTGAAGAATGAAATGTTAACAAATGAAATTGTATCATATATGTTATAATGCAATTGATATTTTTTGCTAAGAGTTAAGAATTTATATATTCTGGCAGTGTTTGAGCAAATCCTTAGTAGCCTGGATCACTCCATGCACCTCTGAATCCATTATGGGGAATGTTGGACACATTTTTTTTCTTTATAATGAAATATTTCTTATTGTTGTCACACCAAAAGAGAGACATCGTTTATATCAGACTTTTTTGTTTTTCATTGCAAATTGCCATATGCTGTGTTGGTAGAAAACTTTCCTGTTTAAGATCTGATATCTTTGGTCTTGTATCTTTTCTTTCAAAACACGGGATCTTATTTCAGATATGTTGAGCATCTGTAGTTCCCACCAAATTTTAAAAGTGCAAAAATTGAGAGAGATATTTAAAAATTAGGCCAGCTATGTCTTTGTCTGTAACAGTGCATTCATCAGCATTGTGATTTGTCATTCCCTGAGACCAAAACTTTGGAGCAACCCAAATTTAATGTTTGTATTGTACTTTCAATTTCAGACTTCTACCATAGCTGAACTTGACTTTTTCTTTCTGTGATTGATATGCTATACAAAAGTCTTCTTCTGGAAATACAAGCAGAACTTATAGCAGATTCTGCAGAACACTGGGAGCATCCTGCGGGGCTTTTGGTGTCCTGATGTCCTTCAGAAGGTAGGAGGAGCTCCTGAGCTCACAGGAGGCACGCAGTGCCTGCTTAACTCTTTGTATAAATAATTCTGCTTCTTCATTTTTATACAGTCTTAATCACTGTGGTAGGTGTTACTGAAATAGAAGAGTCCTTAGTTTTCCTTTAAAGCCAGATAACTCTCTTTCTTTCTTCCTTTATTCTTAGCAAGGTTTTTTTCCAGACAAGACCCAAAGCTTAGCGTGTTGTTTGGATAAGGAGAAATTTACTTTGGCTGAGGAGACCATAATCATTGTGTGTCAGTTAAGGCTTTGACTGTGTGTGGAATTCACACTCAGATGGCAGAGCAGCTTTCTGTGGGGGCCTCTCCCAGGCAGGACTTTCTCTCTGAACCCCGTAAGGCTGCGCTACCAAAGCATTGCATGGGGCCATAAGAACTGGTGTTTGTATCTGCATCTCTCCCACAACATTATGGGCATGTACCCCTGCATTGAGCACACTGAGGAGCTGTAGCTTTAGATTAGCCCTCAAAATTTTTATTTTGTACTTTTATCTTGAGATATCTGATAAATATATTATGTAATATTGTTATGGTTTATGATCTAGCCAGTATTTTTTTATTTGATTTTCAACAAGGCAATCTACAACTGTGTGTTTCTATTCTGCTGTATTTGTCCGTATTTCCTATGATGATATTCCTAAATAAATTTGATTTGAGGGCAAAGATCATGAAGCTCCTGAGTGTTAGTTACAAATCTGCCTGACTGAAGCATTTGCTTTTTTGCATAAAATTGTCTCTGAAAAGTGGCAGAGCAGAGCTGGCTGTTCCTGTGCCCATTGCCTGCCTGTCACTCCATGCTTTGTCCATGGCTGTGCCACTTTGCTGCACCAACTCACTTGCATCCTTGTGGCTCCCTTGACAACACTTTCTCTCAGTGTGCTTTACCTTTTTAACCTTTACTACTCAGTCAGCCCTCATATGAAGGAAATCATAACCAGTAAAAAAGTATTGTTTCCCAAATCTTTTTACCATGGGCTGGCACTGTTGAAATTGCTGGTACTATTCAGGTCAGCACTGATTCTTCAGAATGGGTTCAGTTTTCAGAGGCAACTCTATGGCATGGTGCAGGCTTAATTAGCAGAGTTCAGTGGAGCAGGGCCTCCACCTACTACAACTGGAAATGATTGGAAAGAATCCCATTGACTTAGACTTGTATTACACTCTCACAAGGTGCATGATGACAATAAATCAAGAATAACTATGCCATATCTAGTTCTTTGCAGCTCCATTCAGCTCTCTTCAGCCACGTACTCGGGTGACTTTCATCTGTTGCATGTAAGCCAAAAGACAATCAAGCCGCTACTAAGACATCAAATTAACAAATTAATCAAGATCCCTAGTGGAAATGTATAGAATATATATTTTCAGTGACTACATCTGAGAAAGAGTAAAATATAATATTAACATTCTTCGATAGCAGATTAAAAAGACTTAATATTGCAATAGTTTAGACAAGATTTGTTTGAGAGGGGAGTGTATCCAATTGTAAATCGTTCTTTGAAAATCAAATCCTTCAAAACCTAAAAAATCCTAAAAATTGAGTAGAAACAACATTTAATAATGTAAAGAAAAGAAATGTCATCTCTCAGAAACATTTAGGCAATTTCCCTGGGATAATTTTGCTTTCCTGGTCATTTAATTATTTAGTGGGTCTCAAGAGACCTCTTGTCCATGTACCAGGACAAACACTCAGAAGTTTTACAGAACTCTGGGCTTCTAAGTAGTCCCCTGGGAATGAAGAGGCTACTCACAACCAAAGAGTAATAAATGTGGAAAAAAAAAAAAAAAAGAACTGTGCTGCAAAATACACTTTCCTTCTGCTCAAGCAAGTCCTTTTCCTACAGGCCATTCTCACAGAGCAGCAAAGGCACTACCAATAAGACGCGGAGGGCGTATAGCTCAGCTCTTCAGTCAGAAGGAAGGGAAGCAAGTTTTGGTGTTCGGTAAACTGTCAGTAATTTAAGTAATTAAGTTGCTGAAGCAAATTCAACTTTGCAAAAAAACACCAGCAACAAACACAAAACAATCAAACAAAAGTGTCTCAACGAACCAAAGAACAACCAGCCAACCAAAAATGCCACTCCCCAAAGCCTAACCTCGAAAAGATAGTTGGAAGTCTGTTACCAACACTTCTTACGTAAGGATTGATTACTGTTGGAGAACTTGTAATTAGCTATTGTTAATTTCTCTGTTTTCAGCTTCTTTATTGAAATTTTAGCTGTTTTTAATTCTTCTATTGAAATTATTCTTCCTTTTTCTTTGATACCACTCTCCTCTGAGAGAGAGTTATGTTATTCTTTCCAGTCAAAAATGAACGTTTGCCTCTATTTCTTGAGGTACTCTGGTACTGTTCAACTGGAATGAATGGCGGTGAATTTTTGGTGAGCATTGTGACTTAATAGATGATGTATCTTTTTTTCAGCATTTCTGTAAGAGGAAGGCTCCTATTTGGCTAGTTGCAAGGTGGTTTGGAGTAGGACAGAGCTGTGACTGCAGCCATAGGTAGATCTGATGGACATGTGTGTGTTCACAAGCAAATAATGGGCATGAGACCAGGGCTACAGAGTTGATATTCCCAGCAAATTAGAGAATAAAAATGACATGAGCAATTTAAATATTATTTATAATTGACCTTCATGTCTGTTTTTAATATTCAATCTGCAGAGTGTTTAAAAAAGCAATTAAAAGTCCTATATAATGTTAAAACCCCTGATAAATGCAATAAACAAATGACATATTCCAAAGAGAGAATCTATGTCCCATTAGGAGAGAAAAAGAAAGATGAGAGCAACATATGGCAGTATAATTAGCATGATTAGGGAAGCACATCAATAGAATTTATGCTGCAGGGAAAATGTAATAAGAAACCAACACACTTTCCTCACTGCCTTGAAAACTGCAAATATCGCTCTCTGAAAGGGAGAAGATGCAGAAAGACTCTCTGGCATTTAAAGCTCTAACTTGTGTTCTTCTGATTATTAAAGATGCACACAGCCATCTGCAAACCATTTATTTTTTGCAGAGTGCACATTGTCCCATTGCTTTGATTAATAAGGAGCAATATTACACCTCAGCTGCTTTTCAGAAAGATGCTATTTTGGAAACCTAATTAATACTCACTCCACTGTTAGCTTGAGGTGTTCGTTAGTGCCAGATACTGAGTTCTTATTTGTTTCTCATTATGTGGAGAGTATTGCTTCTCAATGCCAAGGTTTTTGTTTTGCACTTTGGAATAACCTTTCGACACCACTGCTCCCCAGCCCTCCCTTCAGAAGAGCCAATAACACCTGTCATCATTATTTTAGGATGCCCATTATGTCTGTCAAAGACAATGGGGCTATTTAAATAGTTAGACAGTCCTGATGCACAGCAAATATCCCTGCCATTTTCTGAACAGTTGGGCCAAAGAGAAAAGAAAAATTTAGAAATGTGGCAACGCAGTTGTAATTTCAGCTCACCACTAAGGGTCAGTATATACCAAGCAAATGCATCATTACAGGATTAAAACAGTCAGTTTCTCTTAGCAGGAGCACTGGATATATTTGTAGAAAGCACAGATTACTTTAGAAGCTACCAGAACCATCCAAACCTATAGCAGAAATGCCCCTGCTGTTGGAAGTGAACACACAGACTCCATCAGCCAGCTCTCCTGTGTCTGGAGACCAGCAACGTGTCACCAGGTGGCCTGAGGCCCAGTGAAGGGGCACAGACACCTTGCCTGATATCTGCCCAAGGTGCTGCTGCTGAGGATGGCCCTGCTGTCACACCGGGGAGAGCAATGAGAACACCACAGCACAAGAGACGCTGAACATCAACTCAATTGCCAAATGCCACACTCGCTTGAAAAGGTCAAATGTAATTGCATGTGTGACGAGCCTACAGAGCAGCTGAGACTTCTATTGCAACTCACCATTGTGCTGAGTAGCTAAAGGAGAGAAAGGAATAGGTAACAGCCATACACACACAAACAGAGGATGTAAACCCTATAAAACCAGCAGTGGAGAAGGTGTCAGCTGTCAATCCAGTGCATGGCCAACTTAGTGCAGAGTTCCACGTGCCACCTGCAACTCTGTCTTCTACAAACCTGCCAGCAGAAAGTTTCACCTCATGTCAGAAAGTGTCACCTCATGTTCCTCAGCAATAAGGCCTCACATAGAAAGCCCGTCTCACCTATGTAAGAGAAAGAGAGGGGAAGGGGAAAGGAAAGCTGCGCAGTGGAAAGAGAGGAGAGGAGAGGAGAGGAGAGGAGAGGAGAGGAGAGGAGAGGAGAGGAGAGGAGAGGAGAG